TATGAAAAATTGTTGGATTCTTGATCGTTGTTGAAAACTGTAAATGTAAAGATAAGGTGTTTAAATCAAAGATTTGGGTGATGATTTCTCTGCAATTTTGGGGGTGGATTGAAATGACTTGACGTCTTTGCCAGCCTTTGCCTTTTCTTTTTTCCTATTTGAAATAAACTTTGGGTTTGCTCTTATTTCAAGACAAATGTACCTTTTTTTCTACCAGTGATGAATTAATTGCATCATTAACCTGAGTCTTAATTATATATTCACGGCTTCAACTCAATCCATTACCAAATGATACTTAATTTAGTTTGAATTTTCATTCTCACATGTTATACTAAGAAAAAAATAGATAAATGTGGATGGAAATATTGATATCTCAATTTTGTAAAAACGTAGATGAAAATATCAATAAAATATCAATGTCGATAGATATTCCTTCGAATTTAAAAAATTAATAAATATCAATGAAAATCTCTCCATTTTTACCGGTGATGTTTGTTCAATTAAAAAAATTGATTCAGGAAAGTTTAAAATCGTTTTAAATTGATTTTTAAAGTATTACTTTATGGTGATTTTTGAAAATCAATTATAATTAAATATTTTCTTTTTGTAAAATTAATCATCACTTCCAAATACACCCTAAAAGTGTTTTAGAGAGTTTTAAAATTTTTTAATAGCGCTTTTTATTGCATAAATGTGTGAAAGTTTAGAAAAAATAATTTTAATTGGTTGAAAACAAAATTTGTTTTTGTGTATGGGTGAGACTGGCATATAATAATCCATTTGAATTTCAAACCATAACAAATCAATTTTTCGTTTTCCAAAAACCATTTTGAAATTCTATATAAATTTCAAAAAAGAAAAAGTAGTTTTAAAAAATAGGGTTTTGTTTTCAAAATCTCATTTTTTCTTCTAATACTCAACTTTTTTTTTTCTTTCTCATATTTATCTTTAAAAAATTTATTTCTCACTCTAAAATTTTTTTATTTTTAAATTTCTTTCTACAAACTTTATTTTTCTCTCTCTAAAATTTTCATACTTTGAATATTTATTATTATTTATCTCTCTCCAAATTTTTATGTATTTTTGTTTTTTTCTAACGGATCAATTCATTTCTCTCTCTAAAAATTTAATATTTTTCATAATTTTTTCCTCTCTAAAATTTCATCTTTTATAATTTTTCTCTCTTCGTATTTTTTTATCTGAAAATTATTTTATTTTCTCGTTCAATTTTCTTTCACTGTAACTTTTATTTATCTTTGTATTTATTTATTTTCTCTAAAAATTATATTTTGAATCGTGTTATTATCTCTAAATTTATTTCCACTATAATTTTTCTCTTTCTTTATAATTTCTTTTTTTTTTTCTCTTTAACATATCTTTTCCTCTCGACTTTATTTTTTTCCTCTACATTTTTTCTCTTTTTGTCTTTAACTTTTCTTTTACGATTTTTTTTTCTAAATCTTTTTATTCATCTCTCTAAAATTTATCTTCAAATAGTTTATTTACATCTCTCTAAACTTGTATTTTCATGGGGAGACAAAAATTTTCGGAAATGCATGTCCTGACCCCGTCCCCATCCCCAATTCCATTTTTTAAATAATTAATATATATTTATTACACTTTTTTATACTTACATTCTAAAAATAATTAAAAACAATTATAAAACCGATAATTTTTCTTGAGAACATCCCTCGGACCCAAGGAGTCTGAGATGGAGACGGAGACTAAAAATTTTCATAAGTACGAGAATGGGGAGAGCATCCTCACTCACACCCACACCATTGTCATCTCTACTCTACATAAAATTTTCTATTTTCAATTTTCTAACTTTTTAAAAACAAAAAACAAAAAATGGTTATCAAACATATATGGTTTTTGTTTGTTTTTGTTTTTTAAAAACAGAAAACCAAAAACCAAAAACTAAAAACAAGAAAAACCAAAAACAAAAAACTAAAATTGTTATCAAATGGGCTCTAAATGATCAACTCCCTCAATTCTAATAACATCGTTATTCATCTATAGCTCCGAGATTTTTTTAAAAAACTAAAAAATTGAAATTCAAATAATACCATTATCGTGTAACCATATAGCTAGTTCAACTCATCAGGTCAGACTATGTAGTTATTTTAACCCGAACATTCAAATTACAATATCTAGAGAGTAAGGAGGAGAGTCAACTTGAACATATCTCATCAGGTTAAGGCATGTATCATCGATGTCTAAGTTTCCAATTCCCACCTCTACATATATGTTGTTATAACGTTGTTGAACTAAAAAACAATTATGTAAATAGGATAGATTTACCATGGTAAAAAGTACAATTTAGCCTCAAAATCACTAGATTAGTTTGATAATGATTTTATTTTTAGTTTCATGGTTTATAGAAGAGAAATTATAATGGATGGTGAAAATAGTTGCCATATTTGCAAATTTATCACACTATTATTACTTTTTTTTCTGGAAAACATGGCAAAAATTTCACTCATTTGTAACTAATAGTACCATTTTTACATCATTAATAAAATATAGTATAAAATATAATTTTGGTCCCTAGGTTTGAGGTAGGTGTCTATTTGGTCTTTAAGTTTCAAAATGAACATTTTTTGTCCCTAAGGTTTGAGGTAGGTGTCTAATTGGTCCCCGAAGTTTCAAAATAAAAACTTTTGGTAATATTAAAATGACGTGGTAAATTGCAATTAAATTATTTATTGTAGTTGCTGATGTGATAAATTATATTAATTAAATGATATATGCCCGATATGAATGGCGGACGACGGTGGCAAAGACATGGTGGTCGTTGGAAAAGGATAGGAGAAGAGATGAGGAAAGGAGAAAGAAAGTATCATCACCTACACATATATTATTTAATTAATATAATTTGCCACATCAGCAACTACAATAAACAATTCAATTTCAATTTGCCACATCATTTTAATATTAATTAATTAACAGTAAAAAAATAACCATTTAGAAATATTTCTCAAATTTCAAGGACCAAAAGTGCTCATTTTAAAACTTGAGGGACCAAGTTGACACCTACTTTAAACCTCAATGACCAAAATGTTTATTTTGAAACTTTAGGGACCAAGTAGACAACTACCTCAAACCTCAGGAATCAAAATTGTTCATTTTGAAACTTGAGGGACTAAGTAAACACCTACCTCAAACCTCGAGACCAAAAATATATCACTAGTATACATAGTATAAAGGATATCACTAATGTATTATTTAATATAAAATATGTCAGTTGATAGATCTTTTTTAATCACTAATACCAACCATTTTTGTATAATTGTTAAAAGTATATCCCTAATATATAGATTATTACATTTGTATCATTTTTACAAAATATTTTATCATGCATGCGACAAGTATACTATTATTTAGGCTCCCATGAGCTATTATCACAAAAAGGTCCATCTAAAAGAATTAAACTTGTTTAGGTTGTGAGTTCGATCACTACTCCACGCCTTCACATGTTGTACTAAACAAAATTTGTTTACTTCAATTATTTAATTTTTTTTATAATTCTGACCAAGATGTAAAGTAACTAAGGACCTTTTAGCAAAACATGACATTTTTTCTTGTCTTTCGATCATTTGGGATACGTGTTTCTCATCATGCCTCTTAACTGTTATAGTATTGTTAATGAATGTTATATCTCAAATGTAACCTTTTGTAGTATTTAATAAAGCTTTATTTTACTCTTAAAAAATAATAATAACTAAGGATCAGACAAGCTCTCATGTAATGTCCAAATAGAGACGAGAGGTAAATGAATCAACCAGTACCACATCTGAATAGAGGGATTTTGAGATCATGGAAGCACGGTTAAGAAAGACTTTAAAAAAATTGATAGTCACTACCTTTACTAACAATATGCACCTTCCTTTTTGGCAACTCAATCATAAGAACTCAAGAAGCATTTGAGTAAGAACAAAGCATGTTGAAAGAATTCGTGTTGGCTTGTAGGAATAGTCTTCGTTCTTTTAAGTAGCTTAGAGTGGTGCAACCATGTTGCACAGAATTTAGAGGAATGTCGAGACAATTACGTGTCATATCTGGATCTTGAATCTTGGTCCAAATCCTAAACCTGGAGCCTTAGATTCTTTCCGAACCTGAGAAATAATATTTGAACTTTTACCCAGCTGTCATAAATACAATTTTTTGACTTGGATTGATGATTTCATGGAAAGCACTCCATAGTTGATTTAACCATAGGGTTTGAAATTCAGATAGATTATTATATGAAAGTCTCACCCATAGATCAAAAGTAACATATGACAATGTTAAAAAATATGAAATTTTGCATCTATTTTATTTTCTCATATATGGTTTAAAATACTTTGTTTTATACCCAAAACTCTCATATATCTTTCATTTTCACATTTGATACATGTGACTTATAACACAAGTTAAAGCTTCAACTGTAATACTTTAGTTTAAAATATTTTTGACTTAGATTGATGATTTCACAAAAGGTGACTTTTATTTTATTTTATATTATCATCGAAATGACTTAATTTATAAGTACTTAACGCAAAAAAGTATCCAACACTACTGTTTGGTTCTAGTATTTTTTTAATGATCAAAATTTATTTAAAAATTCACTACAATGAAAGTAATTAAAATTTACAAAGTTATTTTAAAATAAATAAAATAAAATTACACAAAAAGAGAAAATAGATTGAGTTGTATAGTTTGAGCTTAAATTAAATTTAGTACCTATGGTTTTAAAATTTTCAATATAGTCTTTAGAGTTTAATCTAGTTTCGATAGCTTATTTTGTGTTTAAAATGACAACTTTATATATGTCAACTGCTCGCTTTGGCTCTCCATGTATTTTGTTGGAAGTATAAATCTCCTAAACTTTGCGGAATCAGTTTTATTCTTGTTGGGCCGAAGTCGCTCCCGCTCGGCCCATCCGCTTCCTACATGGTCCAACAACTACCAGACCGACAATCAAAAATTGGTCAGCGTGGAACGGGAATGAAATGGAACACGCATGGCCGAGCCATTGCGGAGTAGCAAATTCACATTCACTCACGACCCTTGGAACTCTTGTAGAGACGCAAATGATTTACTCCAATTTCTTGCTTTCTATCGTATATATATCCAACGCCGACGCTCTCCTCGATTTCCATGTCTTCAGGTTTGCATTCTCTGCCGCATCGCTGTTCAAAGTTTCTGATTCATCTCCGATCGCCGTCTTCTTCATTGATCACTCTCTTTTGCGCGAGCTTTTGCAGTTCGTAGATTGGTGATGGCGGCTGCCTCTAACTCTGTGTCGCTGAAGCACGGGCTCTCTCTGTGGTGCCCCAACTCTGGTCCTCTTCGCGGACCTCACCGGCCTTCCTCGGTTGCCTTCAGAGGCTTCCGGAGAAGCTACGTTGCTGCCTCCACGGCTTTCGCCAACGAGAATAGAGAGTCAGTGCTTTCATTTAATTTTGTCCAGATTTGTGTTGGATCGTGCGAAGGAAGTTTGGGTTGGAGGATGAATTTTTGTGGTTTTTGTGTTGGTTCTTGAAGGTTTGTGATTGTTGGTGGCGGCAATGCTGCTGGTTATGCGGCTCGTACTTTTGTTGAGCACGGTATGGCCGATGGACGGCTTTGTATAGTATCTAAAGAGGTGATTCGGTTTCATATGTTCTTGATCGCATATATTTTAAAATGTTGACCATGAAGACATTGAATTAGCTTGTTTTCCGCTTTGAACTGTGAACTTAACTTATTCTTGCGACTGATATTTTTATTGCAGGCATTTGCGCCATACGAGCGTCCGGCTCTCACAAAAGGTTACTTGTTTCCTCTCGATAAGAAACCAGCTCGCCTGCCTGTAAGATATAATTGCTCTCGAAGATTACTGTTTAAATTTGCCGTCAATCTTCTGAACCTGATTTTCCATTTCTTTGTTCGTATATTCTAAGCTTGGCCATTTAGTGAACTCTGGAATTTGTTAAGGACCGATAGTCAATCGGAATTGTACACTATCGCCTTTTGCTTATATAGTTTAAATCCAATCTTCTTGCTGGCCCTTTGTTGTGGTGAAGTACATTTGATTTTACTTTTCTTATAGGGGTTTCATACTTGTGTTGGATCTGGTGGGGAAAGACAAACTCCGGAATGGTACAAGGATAAAGGTATTGAGGTAAATGTCATTTTTTGTGTTCTGTTTACGTGAAGTACTTTTCAAGTAAATATTTTGAAGCTTCTGTTATAATTTTTACAGAAAATATGGAACACTAGATTTTGATGTTGCCACCATATTATTAAGATATCATAGAGTATGATCGTGTGTTGTCTTCAAATGTTTAAGGTCATTCTCGACTTCTGTTGCTTTTATGTTTCCATGTATATTATTCTCATGCCAGATGTGAAATTTGGCGGTCGCCAAAATAGTCATTATAAAATGATCTGTAGCTAATTGTACGCATGGACATATAGATACCAGAAAATGCTATACTTGCATATGATGAGCGTGTATTTTATTGTTCATAATATGCAATACGAGGTTTTGATTAATCTTCTCCATGTTGTAAGGCTTGCAATTAAATGTTTTCATTTTCTTTTTAGATTTGGTTCCATGCTTTGTCCATTGTGTAGTAAAACTGCTTTGAATATCCCTTGTTATTCACCTTTCAGACGTTTTATCAAGATCAAGTTACGGGTATTGACATAGAAAACCAAACCCTGAATACTACTTCAGGAAAACTGCTCAAGTATGGATCCCTTCTAATAGCAACAGGATGTACAGCCTCGAGGTGCTGCTATTCTATCTTTTTCCACCAGTTCCCTTTAAGAATATACTGTTCTTGATAGGTGCCATTGCACTAAAACTCTAATATCTCTTCTCTCTTATTGTCAGATTTCCAGATAGGATTGGTGGCGGACTACCAGGTGTTCACTACATCCGAGATGTTGCAGATGCAGATTCACTTATATCGTCATTGGTATTTCACTAGTTTTGTGTCTTGCGTGCAATCCAGATTCACTTATATTTTTCTAACCTGTGTGAATTCTTTTTTTCCAGAAGTTACATTGTACTTTTTGCAACACCAATTGATTTCCATTTCCTTTCCAGGAGAAAGCACAAAAGGTCGTGGTTGTTGGTGGTGGTTATATTGGTATGGAAGTTGCTGCGGCAGCTGTTGGTTGGAAACTGGATACAACGGTATGGATGCCTACTATGTTGCTTGTATTTTGTTCACTTCACTAACTAATTCTCTGGGAGAAATTTTGAAATTTATGTTCACCTAATGGCTAATTTAATCTTCCTGTTCTTGTACCATCCTTTCATTTAATTGAAGTGATAAGACATAGAGAGCTATTTTGTTTCGAAACAGATAGTGATTACTATTTGTTTTATTCTTATGGTTTGTTTGGTTCGAGGTCTCATGTGATGTCCATGAAACTAAGAACCTAAAATTGAGTTGGTGTGACAATATTTGTTTGTGTATATACACAAGAATCTTGAACTGAAATAGTTGCAATTTAAGATACAATACTATTTTTGCATTGAAGATCATTTGATCATTGATAAGTTCATTACCTATTGTAATAATAAACAATAAAAATAACCTGAACTTTTGTATAAAATAAAATTATGTATGTATGTCTTGTGTGCGCCAAAATTTCCAAAAATTCCTATTGTTGGTGGGAAAGTGGTAAGAAGTAGATGAAAGATATAATAGTACGGAAAAAAGGAAAAAATTAACCTCGAGCACTCCTGGGCATGTGGATATTCAGAAGACCCTTGCATTTTGAGTCATAAAATAACCATATGTAAGCACTGATCCCCTAAGCACAGTTCCTGGATGCGTAGGCATCTGTTTCTAGGGAAGTGGAGGCAGAACCTTGAGATGAATTAGGATTGCTGAAATCCATATATATTCCCGTTCTAGAAACTGGGCAGGCAAATGGCTCTTAATGCTTTTTGTATTTGTTTTTTTCAAATAGACTAATGACTATCCGACATTATATAATTTTCCTTTTGGAAAACCTTGAACAAAATTTTGAATTATTTCCATAAGATATGTTAAATGGTGCTACAAATTATTCAAATTTGTGCTTTGTGTCATTTGGTTTGCAATTGTGATAAATTATTAATATTTGTTGCTTCATAGTTAATTTCAATTTTTAATTGTTAAATCCTACATTGCCGTACCCTTTGTCTATGACTCAAAAGTACTCAGGTGATCATAGAGGACCATGCACGATCTTGATTTTAAATTTGTGGAACTTTCCCAGTTGTATTATTTGGGAGCATGCTGACTGTAAAGTTTTCGGTTGACAGAACAATTTTATTTAGCCCTTTCCTAGTTCCTTGTTTGGAACCAACAAAAAACTTAAATTCTATCTAGTTATCTTCCTTACCCTTTTTGTGTACGTGTTTTAATATATCATTGGGACAATATAAGTTAGCTTGGGGAATTTGGGAAAAAAAAGTGATGGCTAGCATATAATTGCTTTTCACCACTTTTCAATCAGCACAATCAGCTTGCACAGTTTATCTGAGACCAGTACTGCTCTAGTAAAGCCAGCTAACTGTATTCAACGAGTCTATAGCCTTGGACGACAGGCCTGGGTAATCTTTGAAATTTCATCGTGATAGAGATAGATCATTGCAATTGTTGGCTAGCCTAGTTTTTCATTGATATTTTGTGTTTTACCGTCAATACTGTAGCTATGCTGGGATTTGAAATGTTGAGCACTATGTAATCCTAAAACTAGCATATTCTGCAGTTTAGTCAAAATGATCACATAATTAACTTTGCCAAATTGTAAATAAGATAAGGAAACTATATTAAGTGGAACTGTGGATGAGTGCTCCCTGATGGGTAATATATGTTTGTTGTTTATTTTATTTTTTTTATTTATTTCTCATAATTTAATCATCGTTCTGTATTTGTGGGTTCAAATTTTTAATTCTTTTGTCTTTAACTCCTTTCCCCCTGCTTTTGAAACGCTGTAGGTCATATTTCCTGAGGACCATCTGTTACAAAGACTTTTTACACCTTCACTGGCCAGAAAATACGAGGAATTTTACCAGGAGAATGGTGTCAAATTCTTAAAGGTTTCTCTCTCATATGTGATAATACTGCTACTGCTATGAAAATTTTGAATATTTGATAGTCATCATTGCTATCTTTCACCATTGATCAGGGGGCCTCCATAAAACATTTGGAAGCTGGTGCAAATGGTTGTGTCACTTCTGTTAAACTTGAGGATGGATCCTCCATAGAAGCAGACACGGTATTATTTTTTGTTATATTTCTTTCTTAATTGTCTACTCCAAACTTCGAGTGGGAATAGCCTGACACTCTTTACCTGTCACTTGCTATGAATCCCAAACTGTAGACATTTACCTTCAAGCAAAATCCCAAAATCAATCCATTTTCTCATGGTCTGATTAGAAGAGAGAGGTTTTTACCTGAGTAGGATGGGAACAAAGCCATATACACAACACAATTCGAGCAAATGAAAATCCAACTATGATGGAACGATTTTCACATTATTGGGACTTTTTCCCATCGTTTCTAGTGATGAGTAGGCTATTCACACAAAATACTTGAGTGGAATGTCTTTCAATGTTCACGTGTTTGATAAATACAGAAAATTCGGTTGTACAACATTTTACTGCACATGTCAATTAGGAAAACCCGGTGCATTGATATTTTCTTATTTCATTTATCATTTTTCCAGGTAGTAATCGGCATTGGTGCAAAGCCTGCTGTTGGTCCGTTTGAGCGAGTAGGGTTAAATAGCAGTGTTGGTGGTATACAGGTAAACTAGTGTAATGTGAAGGAAATTCTTCATTATTTTTACTTAAGAAATGACGCTTTTTTGTAGTCTTAAATTATTGATATTGTACTCCGACAAAAGTTTTCCATAGTAGAGTTGAGGAGAAGTTTAATTGTTTCACATGCCTTTAATGAAAAACATTACTTGAGGATAAACTAGTCTTTGGAGCAATCAAGCCAGAACTAATCATCCAAACTAATTACCGAATTGAAAATGTCATAGATGTTCGTTATTGTGTATGTGTTTGACAATTGACATATACATGTTCTTGCCTACTCTATTTGGATAGAGTTGGGATTATTATTTTTCCTTTTCTATATGAGAGAATTCCATTAACACGTCTCTCTGTAGGCCAATAGGGGCAGGACAGGAACCTTACTTTGGTTTCTGTATCACCATCAGCATTATTCATAGTGCACTTTTGCGAGGTTATGAAAACTTTCCAGAATTTAATTGCCACTAAGTGTCACTTCAGTTTCAAATCATAATTTGTTTTTTTTTAAAACCTTACTCTAACAGGATCTGTTCGGTAGGTTCCACAACTGTCCTTGAGTTTGAAAAAATCATAATTTGTTTTTTGAATCATTAAAATATCCAAGGAAATGACTTCTATTACAAGTAGAAAGAGGCTAAGCTATACACTTTTGACCTAGGTTGATGGCCTGTTCAGAACAAAGATACCAGGAATTTTTGCAGTTGGAGATGTGGCAGCATTCCCATTAAAGGTATCTTTCCTTAAGTACCTTTGTTCTTCGATCCCATTTTCAACTGGATAATGATTGGGATTTGAATAAAACAGCTGTATGACCGTGTAGCTCGGGTTGAACACGTGGATCATGCTCGTCGATCAGCTCAGCATTGTGTCAAAGCTTTATTAACTGCTCAAACTCAAACGTAAGTTGGACTACTTTCTTTGAGACTGGCATTTGAATCTTAAACAATCTCTTTTATTCATTATCCACTCGAAGGAACAGCATACTTATCCTTTACACTACTACCAGATACGATTATCTTCCATACTTCTACTCAAGGGTGTTTGAATATGAAGGAAGCCCTAGGAAAATATGGTGGCAATTTTTCGGGGATAATGGTGAGAAGCTTTTCTTCCCCCAAAATTGTATGAAGTTCTCTTTCCTAAATCATCATGTCTTCTGACTCTAATCGTTTCCCTTCACAGTTGGTGAGACAGTTGAAATTGGGAACTTCGATCCCAAAATTGCTACTTTCTGGATTCATTCTGGTAAATATAGCACATCCATTCTACCTCTATAGCTTTTAACATCATGTAGATGACAAGGTTACTCTATCTGCTGCACAGGTAAATTAAAAGGGGTTCTTCTTGAAAGCGGAAGTCCTGAGGTAATTTCACAAACTTCTAGTAACTATTTGGTCTAAGTCCAATCAGTCCCAGATAATTGTTTGTTTTTTTTTTCTTTTTATTGAGGGAAATGAAATAATATAGAAAATTACAAAGAAAAAAAAGAAAGAAAAAGAAAACAGCCCTCTATACAATGTATAGGAGCTTTAATATAAAAGAATAACACTTAACCGATAATTACAAAATTCTTTAGAAGCCTTCCCGGAGAATTGCTTTCATGCATAGCAGATACTAAACAATACAAATCTGTTACTGTTTATCTTATTATTATTGTTTTAGTAAAACGTGTGGGGTGGAGATTCAAACTCTGAATCTCATGATTGGATACATACATATGTCTTGCTTCGCTATGTTAGCTATGCTTGTGGTTCGCTTGTTTAACTGATTATTAGTAAAACTAATGTTTGAAGTTATATTTTCATGGTAGGAATTTGAACTTCTTCCCAAACTGGCAAGGTTGCAGCCTTTGGTTGATAAGGCTAAACTTCAAAGTGCGTCTTCAGTTGAGGAAGCGCTGGATATTGCCCGAGCATCCTTACAGCAGGTTGGAGTTGCAGTTTAATTTATAATGAAATGTTTGACCTTTGCAGTTCAATCAGTAATAAAAGATTTTCGGTTGTTGAATTTTCTCAGCTATTTGGTTATTATTCTCATTCCTTCAGGACACTATTTTTCTTATCATATGGTTTCATTAAGGTGCCCTTAAATTTAGATCGAAGTTGCGATATTTACTTTTAAACTTCAAAAAGTGTTGAAAAAAATTTACTTTATAAGTTTTTAATTTTGAACAGTCATTGAAAAAGGTATTCTTAGGAGCATTTAATGAATTATGGACATATCTTTGTTACAAAATTGATAGAACTTTAGAGAAAACTAAAAAGGATATTAGCGAGTGAGTTAGTAAAAATTGTACATTATTTGAAATTAATTTTATGAGAAGTTTGATTTGATTGAAATTTGTGAGCTTTTTTAGATTTTTACTTGGCTTATTGTTAAAATTAGTGGGTGAAACAATTGATATTAGAAAGGCGTAACTTTTATTGATATTGAAAATCTAGAGTGAAGATTGATACGATAATAAAAATTGATTTCTTTTTCCAGTTTTTTCTACTAAAACCGAAATATCAAATTAAGGATAAAAAAGAAATTAATGCTGAACTGAAATTGTCTTTTTTTTTTCTTAATTTGACCGACCCAAACAAAAATGACGGAAACTAACAAATGTGATAAAAATCGTATTGATGCTATAGAGACAACAAACTTTATTAGAATTAAACCCAGGAACTAAAGTTTTATACTTCAGAAAATCGAATCGATCGAGAAAAGTTATTCAAATTAATGGAATAAACTATTAATTTATATTTTTGGTTGAAATGTTCTCTACCACACATGTCAGTACTAAAGCAAAATTAATGGAATTAACTTGATTTTATTTTTTTTGCTCTCGTCTTGACGATGAGTGCTTCGACCCGTAGTTATAATAATTTAGGTTCATGGTGCATGAGGTCAAAAAGATTGAGTTGGAGTAATTTACATATGGTTGGGAGGATTATGATTTCTAAAATTAGTAAATAGTATAAAAAATGGTATAAGCCTAAACTTATAATATATGTTGATGTACGACCTGGGAGGTCGGGATGGGTACTTAGAGTGTTCTTCATGGGTATCTGCAAAATAGGTAGGCCACTCCAACACCCAAGTCAGTAATAATTTGAGTTGGATTTATCCCTGCCTTGGAGCAATTGGGTCCGACCTCTGATCCTACGACAGTTTGCCCTTCAATATTGAACTATCGATGGAACTCGCATGACGTCAAAGCTTGTCCCTTAGGAGCTTGGCCTATGGATGAGCTTAATAGCTATTATGTAGATGAGCTCAAGAGCTCTTCCTGGATGGACTTAGGATCTTCCGGATGAGTTTAGAAGCTATTCTGTAGATGAGCTTAGGAACTATTCCATAAATGAGCTTAAGATCTCTTACTAGATGGACTTAGCTATCTTACGTAGATGAGTTTAAGAACTACTTTGTAGATGTGCTTTAAGAGCTCTTTTTACATGGACAGGATATCTTCCGTAGATGAGCTTAGGGGCTTTTCCGTAGATGAGCTTAAGAGCTCTTCCTAGATGGACAAAAGCTTGGCCGTAGATGAGCTAATGAGGTTGGCCGTATATGATCTCACCATGTGGTAGGTCATATTTTCCATCAACAATATAAATATTTCTTTCTTTCTTTAGTACATTATAGTGGTGTGGAGATTCAAAATAACGATATTTTGATTAGAAATAGATGTCTTAATGTGTTGAGTTAGGTTCGATTTGACAAATTCATGTAGTTTGTAGAATCAATAAACTCGCAGCAACTCGTAAAATTAACAAACTCGTAACTTTGGGACTTGGTTTCTCTACTATCTTGTTTATCATAATGTCCTTTTAAATTTTAAAATCTTCATGCCATTGCCAACTATGGGTCTAATTTAAAAAATAATAAAATTGTATAGGTTTGAGAAAGCCTCCTCACCCATGATTTGATGAACAAATCGTTATAAAATAGTTTTAAATTATCCTTAAAATGGTTTACTAACAATTAATGAACTCGAGTGCTTGAAAGTTATCAATCACCTTTTTTTTCTAGCTAAATATTATATGGAGGTGGAGATTTGAATCTCATTACATATATTTTAACCAATTAAATTATAGGTTAAAATATTTTGTCTATATACTTTCGACTTTGGGTCATATTGATCTATTTTGATTCATGTATTTTGAAAAAATTTATTTTAGTCTCTGTACTTTTAAAAATAGTTTATTTTAATATTAATCCTCAATAACAGATTTGGTGATGTGTCACTTTTCTTAAAAGGACTAAGAGCCTACGTGGAAAATTTTCCACTTAGGCTCTTAGTCCTTTTAAGAAAAATGTCACAGGATCAAATATGTTACTTATTAACAGTAGGGACCAAAATAAACTGTTTTAAAAAATACAACGGCTAAAATGAATATTTTAATAGTACTAGATCAAAATGAATCAAAAAATGATTAAAAGAATATTTTAACCAAAATTATAAATAAGTCGGTTGTGAATCTCCCACCTAACTTACTCCCTCCAAATTATATGAATGATTGGAACAATGAATTTGTCAAATTCTAAAAATTAGAATAAGATCTTGGAAAGAAAGAAAAAGAAAAAAAAGATCCAAAAGAATATTTCAAATCCATCATTTAACTTTCTAAAAAGATGTAAAAATGAATTAAAAAGAAAAAAGGGAAGAAGTTTCGAACCAGTCTCTGAAGATCTTTTCCTTTTTCCCTTTTGTTTTTTTTTCCGGTCTTTCTGGTTCTAAGTCGTTTTTATTTTAATTGGAAAATTCAAAGTCAAAGTCAACATGAAAGTCTATGTACCCCCCAATCAAGTTCAAATTAAATTAAATTAAAAACGTCTCGAAGCTATTGATGGAGCAGACGCGTCAGCCATCAATGCGGCTCGATCTGTTCACACTCTAATTCCATACCAAATCTTTTATTATTTTAACATTTTATTTCCACAATTTACTCTAAATTCCGTGAAGTTACTCTCGAGTGAAAGACCTAAATAATTAAGTTGATTTTGTATTTAAGTTGCTGAGAGTCCAACCTCATGGACTATATATCTAGTCCATTGTTAAAATTTTAATTAATGTTTCAGGGAACACTAATTATATTCTTTAAGAATTACATATATAGGGCTAACTTCGAGAAATTATAATAGCTTAAAAAAAATATATTAGATATAAATTAAAAGTTAAGTGTATTTTTTTTTTAATATAAAAGATGAAATCTATACGAATTTGAAAGTCTTATTAAGCAAAAAACACTTAGGATTCTGGTAAGATATCATTGGAGGTAACAATAATATATAATCTTTAGAATAGAAAAATAAACTAATTTTTTTCATTATTACAAGAGTATCTATTCCTACGGTTCACAAATCGACGTGTGATATATTATTTTAACTTTTATCCATAGATCCACATTATTTTTAAATAATATTTATTGAGTAGTAGAAAATGTCATAAAGCAAATGGAACCTATACTGAGTTAGAGTGCTCAATTTTCTGAATTTCGTGCTGGAACAACATCCACGTGGAAAACAATTGGGAGAAGTATCATAGTTTGAAAATTAAGAGCCACCTCAGCATGAAACTCTATAAATTAAAACACTCTCGGTTTCTGCTTCTCTATCTTCCATAGCTCCTTCTCTCTGCTTTCAACCCATTTTATTTCTCTCTCTTTCTCCTCTTCTTCACAACTCCCTCTAATTCTTCCTAAATCTTAGCCTTCTTTAGTAAAAAAAATAAAAAATAAAAAAAATGATGGTAATTAATTAAATTTCTCTCACAATCTCTCTTCAAGTTCTTCAGGTGGGGTTTTTTTTTTCTTATTTAATCTGTAGAAAGTTGTGCTGAAAGTGGAAATAATTAGCGATGAAAAGACAAAGAAAAAGGTGTTCAGAGCGATTGCTGGCCTTTTTGGTAAGATCAACCACCTCCTCCGTCTTTTCAAATGAATTTTGTTAATTTTATTATTGGGTTATTCGAGATTTTCAATGGTACCAATTCCATCCAAATGCTGTTTTTACAGAAAAACTTTTCAATCAGAAGGGTGGCAAGATTATATATATTTCATAGAATTTTAAAATGAATTATTTATTTGACCCGTCATATTTAATTTCTCGTAAAAGTCTAACTCAGTATCAGTAAACTTTTTTTATTTCCTTTTCATATTTCAATAAAAACTTAAATAAAGAAATTTAATTATTGTTCTAAAAAATTTTAAATCAATCACGAAATTTAAATTCATCCAAACAAAAAGCTAATTAAAACTACAAAAGTGTCTCAGACACAAAATTCTATTAATTTTAAAAAGCTATTATACAAAACTTTTGTGAAAACAGAGATTTTAAAAGTTTAGTAATGAAAAGAAAACATTGATGAGATGTGTGGTTTTTGGTAAAAACTTGCAGGCATTGCCTCCATGGCAGCGGACACCAAAGAGAATAAAATAATAGTGATTGGAAGCGCAGACCCAGTTGCCATAGTTGGCAAAGTGAGAAAGGTTTGGCCCTCAGCTAAACTTTTCAGCGTCGGGCCAGAGAAAGAAGAGCCTAAGAAAGACGAGTCGAAACCCGAAACTCGATTCCAGCCTATTGATTGGGCTAAGGCTTGGACACCCTTCCATTTTTAACTCCATGCACACGAGTGCATCAGTCTCTAAATCACATACTTTATATTGTTGTATCGGTCATATACGTTAATTATATAAATGATATATCAATAATATTATTTATATTGACATTTTGAGCTGCCTACACACACAAACAAGTTCTTTTTAAATGAAATTATAGTTTTTTTTTTTTTGTTTCTTGCTTTTATGACCTAGGAGTGTACATGATCGGTTTTCAATGGATCGAAATCGACCCAATTAACGTTTCAGTCATATGGTAGTGAATTCATTCTCGGACCTTGTACACATCGCCTGTCACACTATGGAAGTTGGTCATATCTGAAATCGTTACCTTTTTGAAGATAGGACTAGTGGTTGGAAGTGATCAGTCGTAACATCCTTTTGAGGGAGAGTTAATGCTTGTTGAGTATTTTTGTTTGACACTACTACACACCCAAGAAGAAGTGAACTACGAATCGGTTATCATAGTCATTTTTTTATAAGCGAGGTGATTAGAATATTGATAATAAATTCATTCTACTAATCATTTATTATTATTATTATTATTAATTTAGTTATAGATAGTAATAAAGATATTAGGTGTGTAGGATAGATCAAGGACTATTTTTAAATACGAAATAAAACTTCTATCCTTTTCTATTATCCTCCCACTTTCCTTTTTTGTTTTTATCAATCTAGTAAAAAAAATTCGTACTTCTCAATTATAACACGTTCACAGTCAATTTAACTTTTTTGAATTCTTTATTAGGTAGTAGATAACAAAAACAAAGACTAAAGATTATGAAAAAAAAAGAGAGGAACGTGTGTGGAATTCATTCAGGTCTTCCCGTACGAAAAGGAATCAACAAAAAAAATAATAAATAAATAAATATATATATATATATATATATATATATAAAGAGAATTTTTGAAGGTTAAATGGGTAATTGAAGCAGCACTATATAATACTTTTATTTTTTGGAAAGAGAGCTTCTTTTCACTAAATTAATTAATTGATTAAATTTTAATTGGGTTAATAGATTTTGAGTTCACCTTTCTCCTTTTTCTATTAGAAGATGGAACTACTGTTTACAACATTACATCATTAGTACTTAGTAGTATTTTTCAATAAAATAAATAATGATTTGTTTTGATAACTTCCTTTAATGAATAAAAATTTATTTATATCATTTTTCCTTAAAAGGTGATCTGAATTCCAAAAGGATTATTTTTATTATTGTTATTTAGAAACTCTTTAAAAAATGAAACGTTGTTTTCGAAAGTTTTTCTTTTTTTAAATTTATCAATATTTTAAAAATAATATTTGAAAACATAAAACAATAAAAAGACTTGCATTTGGGTAAGCCAAATTATAAAATACTAAATAAAACCTTATGGGTTAATAAACTCATTTCCATAAATAAATAAAAATAATATATATCATTTTCATCCAAGCATTTTATTTATTTCCCATTTATAAAAAAGAGAGAATCACTATATCACCTTTTTTGGCACAATCACAATCTATATATATATAACAATAAGAAAAATTGATTTAGATGAGATTTAGCTTGCAAATATCAAAACGATATACATCTTTGATATATTTGACTACGGATATATGTATGTGATTTACATCTGATATATTATTGCTATCTGATATACTTGCATGTGATATACATCTGATATACTACTGATATAAGTGAAAATTTTTGTTATATTTGAAAATTTTAAAAACGGGTGTTATATTTTGAAATATGTAAAAGATTTTTGCTAACCATTACAATTTTTCTTTTTTAGTACAATATGTAGAGTGAGAGATCGAACTCACATTCTTAATTAAACATACATAATTCGAACCATACTCGAGCTCGAGAGTTAGAATTTGAAAATTCATTTCATAGCAAAAGCTATTCTTTGCAAAAAAAAAAAAAATGTGTTGAGTAGGGACAATGGAGAGGACTTTGTGTTGGTTTGACGTAGACTAAGACTTGGTCCCTCCAACATGTTGAATCCAAAGCGTAGCTTCCAAGGAAACTCATAAGCACCATTCGTTTGCCTTTCCCTTCTCTCACTATTTAAGCCATTCCCTTCAATTTCATTCCACAAACCAATCTCAATCTTCTGAATCTTCATCTTATCTCTCTATTCCCCTTCACTCCCAATCTCAAATAGCCATTGGAATTCCCAGACCCAATTCAAAATGAGCGTGAGTTTCTGTTTCCCTACACTCTGTTTTCTTGCTTCACTTATTTCCTCTGTTTCACTAACATGGGGCTGCTTCTTTTCTGCAGAAAGTGGTGATGAAACTTGACTTGCACGATGACAGAGAAAAGAAGAAGGCCCTCAAGGCAGTTTCTGGACTTACAGGTAATCCAGAACTCCCGGGACCTGATACGGAAAAATGATTGAATTTACTGTGACCATCAACTTAAATTTTTTAATGTGACCTGCAGGAGTTGAATCCGTCGCGATGGAGATGAAGGACAAGAAGCTGACAGTAATTGGGAGTGTCGACCCGGTTAATGTGGCTGCTAAGATACGGAAGCATTGGCCCGGCGCCGAAATACTCAGCTTCGGGCCGGCGAAGGAGGAGAAGAAGCCGGAGGCAAAGAAAGAACCGGAGAAGCCAAAGATCACAACTGAGCAGCAGCTACAACAGATACTTATGCAGATGGGGCATCCTCATTGGCATCCTGCTAATTACCATGTCTTGAGTGTAGAAGAGAATCCCAATTCTTGTGTCATATGTTGAATGAATTTGGATCAATAATTTTGAGTTTTGAGAAACTTTGTTGGAATGTTTTCATTTTGGAGTAAATATGTCAATTTCAGCCTTCCCTCCACTGATTTCCTATACTTATCAAGGGTGTGTTCGAGAGTAATTCTTAGATAATTAAAATAACTTTTTGTCATCGTCAAAATCACATTCCATTGACAAATTAAAAAATTGATTTTAGGAAAGTTTAAAATCATTTAAATTGATGGGTAAGGTATCACGATAATTTTGAAAATTCAATTATACTTCAATCTCTTTTTTTCAAAATCATTCATCCCACCATCGTTCCTAGACATATCCTCAATGTGTTTGGCTATGTATGCAAACAAGGAAAAATAATGTGAATAAGTTTAGGACAATATTCGAATTGCTCCAAAGTCTCACGTAGCCTGAGGACAATTATTTTTATTCGTGTGTGACTTTTTGAGTGAAATTAAAAATGAAACATGTTGGACAATCCAATATTATTGTATGACTAATTCATTTTTAGAACACCCATCTTAAATGGGCATAACAAGATGGAGAAAGTGAGAGGGAGGGAGGAAATGTAAACAGAGAAGATAGGCTAAATATATCTGTCTCTAATATTTGGATAAATCATTAGTTATATTTTTATTATTCAATTCATAGATTATTTTTTGTTTTAATTAACTTACAGTAAGCTTTTTTTGCTATTACAAGAATTTTTCTGAACTTTGTCCTTTGTATCGAAAATGTATCTATCATTTCAAAAGTTTCAATAATACTTTCAACCTTTTATAAAGGTTTCAGAAATATCTTTTTAGTCACATCTGTCAATATTTTGAATTGAAAGTTGACATGACAGAATCTAAAATGATATAAAATTAACGTGGAAGCTCTTACTCATCAAACCCAACTACCAATGGTACGTGAGTCTCAACATCAAGAACCCTATTCGATTTCCTCTAATGGGTCTGCTTTCTTTCACTGTTTTCTGACTTCTTCTGGCCAGGTACTGAGTTAATTTCGTGTTGGGTTTACAAAGAGTGCAAACAAATTCTCACATTGATCAGGGAAGGGAATGATCCATAGTATATAGATGAAAACAATTATCTTCATTGGTATGAGACATTTTTAGTGAAACCAAAAGCAAAGCTGCAAGAGTTAGGCCCAAAACAGACAGTATCGTAATATTGTAGAGATATTTGGAGTATTGGGTACCCATTATCCTTAATATTCCAACTTTATTTTACTAATTGAATCGATCTTGTGTGCATAAATTGTTCTTGACACTAAGTCAATCTTCCTTGAGCCAATCTTCATTGCTGCGCTCATGTCTATAGTGTACAAGAAGACTCTAATTATTGTGTCATTTGTTGAATGGAATGGATCAATTGTCTCGAGAAGAGTATATGAAACTTGGAATGGATCAGTTGTCTCGAGAAGAGTATATGAAACTTGTTGGAATGTTTTCGCTTCTGGGGCAAATCAGTTCATTCTCAAACTTTCCTCTCCCATTTCCACCATCGATTTGCCATCATAACTATTCTCTCTCTCAATAACTAAAAACCTTGTAATAATCAAACAACCTTGAACATGATCCAAACCAGCAAGAATAACTAGGAGGAACACATTCTAATTACTCTTTTCCCTCTCCCTCTGCTTCAGCTCCCCTGTGAGTAATGATCGGACGAAACAAGGCCATTTTTCTGAAAGAGACAGCACGTTTGAGAAAACTTCTTATGACAGAGAGAGAAGATATTGAAAGAAGAATGGAAGGCCATAAGTGATAATTTGCTAACCATTGTTTGGAAACACACTCATATAGTTACAATTCAATGATTGTGAGGACAATTTGGTGGCTGAGTTTGTGACAATTTCACTAGGAGTAAAATCTATATACAACATTAAAATATCGAGCCGAGCTGTCTCTTCTTTGAGCAGACAATCTGCTCTCATTATACAGGACATGACACATCTTTCACAACATAGAATAGATTTTACATTGTTGGAAGAATATGTCCTCCTGAGCTCAATTTGAAGTGTTGGTAGTAGACGCTCTTGGTTGCTTGCTTCCGTGCTCGGGCACCGGATGCTCGGCTGCAGGTCTCTTTGTCCTTGACTGCCATCAGAAAGACCAGGGAAAGTCCACAAGGAATGTGAGTGGTGGTCTCACAAGCTGACCCATGTATTACTTTATATCAAAGCATACCACATACTTTACTAACCTTTTCTCCTGTATGCTGATAAATATGTCGTATAAGTATATTTTTAGCCTCAGTATTTATAACTGCAGTAAGAATCAGTGACACGATATCAAGAACCAAGCTGTTTCCAGATATTACAGCAGAAGGATATGGAAACGAAAGCCAACACTGTAAAATCATATAGCCTTAGCATGGCAATGAAGGCACAATTTATCTTGCTTACCCTGATCTGGTGGTGGAAGAGTCCTACTGTGGGTGGGATGATAGGTTGCAGGAATCATCTTCTACATAAAAATGAAACCGTCTTAGACATTAGCAGAGCAATTCAATCATCAGCTTGTTCATTACAGATATAATTAACTCTTCTTCAGGTTCTTCTTTCACTCTTCTCGCAGCTGGCAATTCCACTTGTATAAATATGTTGCATTACAGTACAGAATTTAAACTGCTTTAAGCTTTGATGAAAGTATTTAGTTGGTCCAGACAAACTCTTCCATTCACATGTTCACCCAATCCTCGGCAAATTAACAAGTGATGGCCATTCAAGTAAAGTGTCCTCATTTGAAACAAATCCAAAGATGGGTGATATATCAAAAGCAAGCATTAGTTTTGTACATACAATCAAAAGGGAAAAATCGGTTCTAACCTGCTTTGATGAAAAAATTGGTGTCCAACTGTCTTATGTCTAATAGGATTTCTCTTCCAAAGAAGGGTTTGACGTTTGGTAGCTTTAGTTAAGATATTAGAATCTTTTCAATCAACAACTTCTCACTAATGTTTGCTAGAGTTGTCGATCCTTATGCATTATCTTAATGTTTTCATCCAAGGCAGGAAGACAAAGGCAAAACACTAAGGTGCCTTCTACGTACGGAGAATTGTTCTTAAAACTTACAACTTTTTATCAAGTATTTGATTGGAGATTTCTTTGTAATTACATTCTAGCTTTACTTTCCCGTGATTGACAAGGTGTGATGTGGTAGCTTTCTAGGGAGGGCCTCCTTGGCCCTTGCCCATAGTTTGTTTCCTCCTTTTGGTTTAATATATTTCGTTTCTTATTAAAAAAAAAAAAAGTATTTCATTGGAGTTTTAAGTGTAACCGTTGAATATGAACTGTATACTACTCAAGAAATCAGAGAAACCAGGAACACAGTGTAACTATTTGCAGTATAAATGAGATCCGTGTCACTGAAATTTGAGGACTTATCATTGTAACATGACCTTTTATCTTGGCTCAATGAACCTACAGACTACATATACTCAACTGAAGAGGCAACTTAAATTGGTTGCAGCTACTCAAGTCCAAATACATGAAGGACTAAAAGCATGTTTAGGCTTCAAAATGATTAGAAACTTGAAGATGAACCTACATATGAGAAGTAAATAGATTCTTTTCGCTGGAAGGTCAGTGACTTGGTGATTGTTCCTGCAGATTCTGCTCCCTTAGTATCACATTATAGTGAATTTGTCTTGCAAGTTAACAGAATCGTTTGTTTCATAGGGCTGACTTTACAAGATTAACAAAACATACCAAAATAGAGTGAGAAGAAGAGAAGGTAAAATTAAAACGAAATCATAATTTGATTTGTCGATTCCAAAAAAAGAAAAAAAGATCATAAAAGTTCCATCTTTGAGTAAGAAACGGAAAATTCATAACATGTAGCACCCACATATCGTCATCAGCATGCAGTATTCTTCATCAAAAGAAAGTGGGAATAATTCCAACCAAACATATAGTGTTTATGTTGAATAAGACAACATAAACATGAAAATGGTAAAGTAGAATGACAGAAAACTAATGAACTTCAATACGTTCTTCCTCGTTCAGGTTTCTGGATCAAACACATCAATTGCAAACTCCATTGTACTCTGCATCTCCTAACTTAGCTAAACTAAGTACACACATATCAAAATTTCAAGAATTTAAGAGTTTCCGAGTCCTAAAACGAGAACAAAATTACGAATCTCACGCTCCCGGGGACTCAATTGTGCCAATAGATCAAAACAGATCAATAATGCCAATGAACACAACCAAAAACTAGCAGAACCCAAACAACAACATAGTAAAGAAGATCACGAGTAGGTTCAATTTCATCACAATTCACACCCCATCTTAACAAAACAGCAACTCCAGCAAATTCCCATTCAATAGAAACGAAACAAACAAAAATCACAAATAGAGGGAAAGCACCAAGGATCAAGTAAATAAATGAAATATTTCTACGATTAAGTAAATCAATTACGAGAGCAGAAACAAAGGGTGTGGTGGTATCGCCATTAATGAGAACTTACAGAAGGAGTTGAAGGATCGGAGGGTCGGAGTTGGCTGAAGTTATGAGGGTCATATGACGGCAGGTCACCGAGCATAGACCCCATGAAAATGCTGCTGAATATGAATTTGGGTGTCCGAAATCTACAGAGGGAGAAATTTGTGGAAAAGAGAGAGAGGGGGAAGAAGAAGAAGAAGAAGAAGAAGAAAGCGGAGAAATGTCGCTTCTAGAAGCGAGTCATTAGGGAGTCACAGCGCCATCGATTTACAACCAGTGGATGCTCAGTGTAACAACTTTATACTCACTACCATGGAGTAACAATTTTAGCTCAAATAATTCTCCAAAACAATTCAATTTATAATTCGATTTGGCAAAATTTTTTTTTTTTTACTTTTTTTAATTACGTTTTGAGCGATGAAACTTTTTTTCTTTAAGAAATTGTTTTTTTTTATATGTGCTAAATAAAGTTAGTTTGAGACTTAAAATTTTAGTCTAGCTAAATCAAATTCTAAATTTGAATAAATTATATATTTGTTTTTTCCTGAGAAACCAAATTTTTTATTGAGACAAATGAAAACAAAAAGATATGAACAGGGGCATAAAAAAAATAGCCCGCAAGGAAAAAACCCTACCAAAGAAAGAGTTCTCCAATCCAAAAGAATAATGTCTATCCGATAATTATTAGGAGACATTAAAATAAATGGTAAAATTAATATAGTCTCAAAATTAAATTAGAAAAATATTTGTGGATGGCAAAATTGTGTCATTGTGGGGAGACCATGTGGAGATGCGAGTAAAACTAAACAACTATACCTCATAGTAACATGGTCGAAAGGTCATACCTTGGTCGATCAGAGGTTAGACACACATGTTACCTTACTCTATAAGCAAGATGCTAATATGGCACCACCTATATAAACCTACCTTGAATAATTCCTTAAATAAAAAGTAAATGACACGTGTCTTATGGTAGGCCATTTGACAATTAGCTGCCCAACGAGAGTCAAGCACTAAATTACTTACAAATCCAACGAAGTAATGATTAATGCTTCAGTTGCTATATATAGGATGTCCCCACTTACGACTGAAGTATGAAAATGTTTTTCCAACTCAGTTCTACTTTACATACACAAAAGTTCTAATCTAACTTAATTATTGAATAATGTTTAAAAAACTACACTGGTTCTAATAGCTATTCTCAGGTTTTCTCTCTCTCTTTCACTCTTTGTTAGTTAGTCCGTAAAGTTTGAACAATAATTTTGTAGAGTGATGAGAATATCCACAACAAAAGGTCAGTAACAACGCACAAAATTCAACAAAGAGATGCATAAAAATAGTAAGTAAACAAATTTCTTAACCTAACCAAACATATATTCAAATCTAACTACAAAATTAAACAATTAAAAAGACGTCCAATGTCTAAACTTAATATAGAAATGTGTCCAATAGTAACAATTGGTGCCTCCACAGGTTCACATCCGATCCAACCTAGTAGTAAGCAATCCGCCAAAAGCAACCAAAATAGTCCTTGGTGAATAGGGTGAAAATTCGATCGGAGCATCCAGCAGTGCAATCCGGTTCTACTTGATTAAGCTCTCTTAGGGTTGGCACATGGTATCAAGAAGCCTAAGTGTTAATATCCAAGATTGACGTTCGGGCCCTCGTGCCGGGAAAATTAAAAAGAAAAAGTCTAAACCTAATTATGAAAGTATCTAACATAGTGATACAAAATAACATTGTCAAAATCTAAAAAAGAAGAGATAAAATTTTTGTTGTTTTTTTGAGGCAATAGAGAGAACTTACAGAATTTAACAACAAAATCAAATAAAATTGAAAAGTGTCCTAAGTCGACACCTAATTGCCTAAATCCCCAAAATATCACATATGGTCATATGAACTATATTACTAAAAAAAATAGATTTCTCTGGTCACTATAATAATATTGTAAATTAGTTTGAAGGTTTTTTTTCCTCCGTGTCCGGACCAACTTACACATACTTCGACTAATTACTTCATAGGACAAGCGTCTGACCCTATTATATTTAGTTGTTAAGAAAACACATGGAAAATTAATTATGATTCTCAACCATCATGAAGTTTGAACTCATTCTCTTTGAATCTTTTTTTTACTTACCTTGGTCTCTTTGAATAAATGAACTAATTCAGGATGGTTATAACCGGTTAAAGGTATGACTTTCACTATTTACAAATTACTTATTTTATGTTACACTCAATTCTTTTAGGTGGCCTTTTATATCTTTGAGTCGAGGTTTTAAATAATATAGAAATGCTGAAATCTCAGTTTTTTGTAAATCTTGATAGATATAACGATAAAATATTGATGTCGATGAATGTTTCTTAAAAAATTATAAAAACAAAAATTCATAACAAGTATTTAAATTAACTAGTAAACAAATTTGCTATTTTAAAAATAAGTCTAAAATTATTAATATTAATATTATATTTTTATTAATGACATTTTTTTTATAACTTATCCATTTATTTATGATATTATGAAAATTTCGTCTATACCAAAATTTAATATCCTAATCTAGTGATTTAAATAAGTTGGGGAGTATTCTTTTAAAAAAATGATAAAGAAACAAAAAAGAAATGATTTTCACATAAAAATTGTAATGATTACTCGGAAGAATTAAAATGTCATCTCAAACACCTTTTAATTTTTCTTCTTCTTAATTATTGTGATCAAAATTTGCATAAATTTTTAATGTTTATTCACTTTTCAAACATACACACATGATGGAATATGGAAGTGCTACCTCCAATGAAGAAAAGAAAAAACATCAGATTACTCTATTGAACTAAGTTTATTTATTTATTTGATGGGGTAAAATTCCAAACTTCAGACTTAAAATCCCATTGACTTTTTAAAATGAGTTAAGCTTTTTGAAAATTTCATTCTCTCACAAAGGTTTGTTTTTATTTTCTCCATCTAAAATGAATCGATTGGACATAACATTATCAAAAAATACTAAGATGTATAGTAAATTGAATAAGATCAAAGACGTTAATCATTTTAAAGTATTTTGTGTAAATAAATCGTGAATATACTTGTAAGATAATAGTGGAGTGACCTAATCATAGACCAGGAGCTTGTGGGATATAGGACAATGTTGTGATGTTGTCATCCTCACAATAGTGTCAACTCCGAATTTAGCGCTCCATGTTCAAGTAAGTTAGTATTGTCCCTAATTTTCTCTGTAATGGTTTGAATATTATTGTTTAATTAATTAGTATTAATAGTTATTTTATTATTTTTAGATATTTACTAAGATTACTTAATAGGTCAAAACCGAGTATAGTTAAAACGGTAATTGTTGTATATCTACCATTAAAATGTTGTAAGTTTGATCTCCTACCTCCACTTGTTGTACTAAAAAAATTTAGTTGCTATTTTTACGAATACCAAAAATAAGGTTTAAGTTCTATCATATGTGTGGTGCCTTTTTTTATCTTATCATAAAACATCACATCAATAACTTTGGCATATAAATGTCATTTTAATTTTCACTCAAATTTTGTAATTAAATTATTAAACAAAAACTTGATCTCGACACATATGGTTAATGTATAGATGTTGAATTAAATTAAATTTTCCCGAGTCTCATGTAAGACAACAAAATGCACCTCGAGGTGCTGCCGAGGAACTGAGGGACCATCTATATTAGGATGAATAAACTACCACTCAATCCAAAAACTTAAACTAATAGATTAAATAAATTTAATTCATATATTTGATATCTAATCTTCTAGAAATTAAAGACTACAGTACAGTACGTTGCCGCATACAATCATTCGAAGAACTTCAAAAGTAGAAGAAGAAACGTTGGTTTCAGAATCTGACTAAATTATTTATCTTTAATGAAGTAACTTTTTTTTTTTTTTTTACAAAAAAGCTATAGTTTTTAATGCAAAATTTAATTAAAAGAAAACAAAATATTTGAAGATCAATAAACTAAAATATTTGAGAGTTTGAAAAACGAAAATAACTACCAAATTTAAGAACTAAATTATACTTACTAAAATGAGCATAGCTGGACATAGATCTCAAATCAAGGGTGTTTCTGAATCTTTTAATATGATCAAATTTATTTTTAATATATTAGAATTTCTCAATTAAATTATTATGTAAAAAATTTATAACCAACGACTAACAAAAATTTGATATATCATTCAATATTTGTTTTATGTAAAGCTTGTGCCAAAACGAATCTAGTTTAGTGGTAATTGAAATATATCTTCAACTAAAAGGTTGTATGAGTTCGATGCCCCACCCCCCACATTTTGTACTAAATAAAAAGATATGTAAAGCTCGTTGTCTGACAAATCAGTGATGCAACCCATCTATCAATATTAATAAAATAAATATTTAATAACAACTATCTTTTAACAAATTTAAAATTTTATTTTATTTATTTTATGAAAGGACTCTTATGGATCTTTTTTTATATTTTAAGAGCTGATAGGAAAGTGGTACAAAATTAAGAACCAAATTGAGAATTATTAAGAAAAAGTTAGATACTAATTGTTATATACATTGGAAAAATTAAAATTTATCCTATGTTATATTTCATCATATTGACATTTAAACTTAGATAAATGTTGTAATATTTATCTAAAATTCTAAAATTTATTGCAATTTTTGTCTTAAGCTTTAAACAAATTGTAAAATTTACCCAATGTATTAAATGAATTATAAAACATATAGAATTGATGAGATTTGAAAGAAACACAACATAAGAAAGGTTTTTAGTTGAAATTTGTGATTTCTGAGTGAGTTATTTAAATAGTGAATATTGTGCATGGATCAACTTAATTTTATGCTTAAGTATTTTATTTTGGTAGATTTTTATGTAATCTCACCCTCTTCTCTTTTAATTGAAGATATATGTCAATTATTGCTGGTGGAATGCAATATGGTGGAAAAAAAAATCGAACGAAATGAAATTGAAAATTTATGATATATATAAATCACATATTTAAAAAATAAAAATAAAAAACCTGACCTAATAAAAATTCTGAAAATATAAACACATAAACCCTCGAAAAATGTTGTCGCTCCTGGTTTAGGTTTCCGGAGTGTCTCGAACGAACGAACTGTTTGCTTCCTGAACCTGAGGAGACCATAGAACGAAGCAGCAGCCATGGCTGCTCCCGAAGCTCCTCTCTGCTACGTCGGCGTCGCAAGACAGTCCGCCGCTTTCCGCCTGATGAAGCAAATGGTACTTCCTTTTCCTTCCTCCTCTTTCTACGAATCTTTTCGCATGAATTTTTCCCTCATTCCCTCTAACATCCAATTCTCTGTGTTCAAATCAGGGCTGGGAAGAAGGAGAGGGCCTTGGCAAGGACAAGCAAGGCATCAAAGGCCACGTTCGAGTCAAAAATAAACAAGACACTTCCGGTTGCCCTAACATCCTTTTCTGTACTTTGCTTTTTCTTTTGTTTTGTACTAGAAAATATAGCTGACTCATGGCTAGATTTTACAAAGATTTTATGGCATTGAGATACGTGAAAGGGTTTCCAAAGCAGTACCAGTTTTAGATAGTTAGGATGAATCTGATCATGAACCTTTTATGAATGAATTTTGGAGAATTTTGACTTATATTTTGTGCCTTTCATTTGATAGGAATTGGCACTGAGAAGCACAACCCTTGGGCTTTTGATACCACACAATTCGACAACATCTTGAAGAGGCTGAAAGTGGTATTTCCTACCATTCTCTATTTTCTGTCTCTTCTTAATTTTGTGTATGTTCTGACTTCTGAGAGTAGCTTAAAATTTTCTTTTTTTATTGCAGCAAGCAGTACAAAACACTGAGCAAGGTAATAACTTTGAGAATTGGTTTCGGTATTGCTCGAGTATGTTGTTTCCTGATGTAATGGCTCCATGATTTTCAGGTGTGGAGAAAGATGGCACTTCGGTGGAAACTGTAAACGATGCAACTGATGATCAGGTTATCAAGGCAACACGACCACAAGGAAGGTTGGTCCTGTTGTATTCTACTCATTTTATATCTTCATCCCATCACTCGAGTTGTATACCGAAGAAAATTTTCCTATTCTCCACTTGATAATTTAATTACATGGAGATATACATTTTGCATTTTTGCCAGATACAAGAGAAGAGAGAGAGGAAAGCTCGTCAACGCATATTCTTCCAAGGATCTTGAAGGGATCCTTGTAAGTTTTGAAGTTCAACTCTAAAATCACTATATTAATTTTTTTGTTTATTTTTGGGGGGTGGGGGTGTTATTCTTTCCTTGTCAACTAAGAGATCTAACGAAATACAAATGATGAGTTTTCCCCTTATTCTCTCCACCCATCGTCCTCTCACTGGATTTCTCTTTTCCCTGCTGCTTTTCTTTATGGGTTATTTCTAATTTCATAAACAGTTATTTTAGGCTTTCAAATGTAGCTGATTAGATGGTTGTAGCAACTCGTACTAATAAGTGGATCAATTATTTTGCTCAAATTATGTGTGGCTTCTATATATGAATGTTAGAATGTGATAGGCCGGATCTTAAAGTGTATATCTGCAATGCAGGTAAAAAAAGTGGAGGAGTTGCCACAAACAAGTTCTAATCTAGAAACTGAAACAGAGTCATCAGAAGAATCCGAAATTGAAATCCTTGCTGTTGGAGGTACTAATTTTTCTGGAGGGATGCAATTCTTGCCTTGTCTTATACTGTATTTTATTTATTTACAACTTTTATCTCCTTTTCAAGTAAGTGCTAAACGTTTGTTAAATTTTAATTGTACGTCATTTTCAGATTTATTTTGTGTTCTATTGTACATATTTTAGTATTATTTTAGATTAGTTAAACCCCTGGTTGTAGAACAAGTAGCTCGTTGGTGGGGGTGGGTCTATAAATAAAGTGAGTTAGAAAGATGAAAGGTTTAGTTGTTTGGATTTGAGCTTGTTTGATAGGGAAGTGCCCAAGTTGAAGTTCCTTGAATTACTTGGGATTATTTCAGCATTTCTTGTTGTTCAAGTTTTTGGCGCAATTTCTTTTCCAATTCTCCGATTCCTATAATTTTCCAGCAAATACTTTATGGGTTAACATTTGTGGATTTAAATCTAAACCACCTTGAGCAAGTTCCCAAGGTCTTGATTTGTGGGTTACTATCTTCTATTTATTTTCCTGTCTTTTTCTTTGTAAAAGTAGCCACAGAGTCCAACAGTAGGAAAACCCCATTAAATTTCTCTCTCATGTTGAACCCTTAAACTAATTTCTTCCGAATTTAGTAGCCATTGTCGTGGGTCGGGTTTGGAGATATTAGATGCAGTTGGTATAGAACTAATATTCTTGTCTCTCATCTCGAAGGAAACCTAAACCATATTCTGAATGGACTAGGACTTGCTGTGTTTTTACAGAAAAGAAAGATGGTGTTTCTTCTGAATGGTGGGGCTATAAATATGGATTTGTGTCTGGAGGATATTTGGGTGCAGAATCTAAACGAAGAAAATGCCTTCAAGCCAAAAGCACAGAGAATATGCATGAGAGAATCGCCTTTCATGAAGATGATCAAGAGAATCTGTACAAGCTTGTCCAAGTATGTCCATCTTCAAATTATATTCTATGAATTTTTGGAATCATAGTACTTGTTATGTTACTATATATACTCTATTTATCACTTGATCTTTCTGTGGTATTATTACATCTCTTAATATTCAACGAAGAATAAGTAATGGTGGTACAAAGAAATTGAAGTGGAAAATAATCAAGTTTGACTGTGAAAATTATCATGTTCGGTTTTTACTTTTTAGGAATATAATTATTTGAAAATACATTAATAATTTTTAACAAGATGTTGAATCATGTAGGATGACGTTTATTTTGTTTCGTATTGAGGCATTCAAGAAACCTGATCTCAAAAAATGCTGATCAACTTAACTAATAAATTGTTTGGGTTGGTTGGTTTGAGTTATAAAATTGTTTGGAAACCTAGTTTATATGTTTATATCTTACTCTCAGTTCTTTCTTTTTTTCTCAAGAAAGTTTGGTTTATTATAAAAACAAAATAGTAGCAGAAACTTAAAATTTTGATTTCGATGGACATGGTGTGGGTATGGGAGACTGATGAGATATGACTTCCATGTATATAATATAACTTTGGTGAATAATAAACTGGAGTGTAAATGGTGCAACGGTATCCGTCTTCTGTTCATGGGGTCATGCATTCTTTCACAGAGGAACCTAATCCTTTTTCAATTTTGGAAATTATAGGATAAAGCCACAACAGGAAAGCAAGGACTGGGTATTAAGAGTAGACCAAAGAAAATAGCTGGCTGCTACTTTGAGGGGAAAAAGACTTCCTTCGACGAAAGTGATGACGAGGACTCTGGTGACGCTGCCCCTCCCGCGAAACGGAAGTATGATGAATCCTTCGGTGCAGAAAAATCGGAAGGGCAGCAGAAAGTGAAGTTGAGAAAGTTGTGTAAAACAATTCTCGGCCAAGTATGTTATTCCAATAGTTTGGAGTTATTATTTTTTTTGTTTATATGTTTCTCTAGAGGCATAAGTGATGTTGGTTCTTATTACTATTGCAGGTACCTGGGGATTCTTTAAAGCTGAAACAGCTGAAAGCTTTAATTGATGAACGTGCCACTTCAGTTTTTTCAAACTATTCTTCTAAGAAAGATGCTCTTGCTTATTTGAAACAGAAGGTACAGTTATAGCCTTTCTCATGTGCTAAGTATTTGGACGATACTTTAATTTCAATTAGAAGTTTATGTTTTTGTTTAGGATCTTTTTGTGTAGAGCTTGTCATTTGAAGGTTTTTTTTCTTATCTTATCTAAAAAACATTTTGAAGGCTTGTTTTTATTTTTTTTTGGTTTTAATACTATTTTGGTCCTGATAATTTTGGCTTTGGTTCATTTTGATTTTTGTACTTTGAAAACGTCCATTTTGGTTTTTGTACTTTCAATGTCCATTTGACCTTGTGCTTTTTGGTTTGTATACTTTCAAAATGTCCATCTTGGTTCTTGTACTTTTTTAAAGTGACCATTTTGGTCAATTATTTTCACTTTTATGTCATTTCTCATGATCATAATTTTAGCATAACACTTCACCCTCTAAAATTTCTTGAAATGTAGCCATAAATTCGTATTAAAGGATTTCTATTGTGTATAAAATATTGCAAATAGGGACTAAATTATTCACTTTTATAAGTACATGGACGTTTTGGTGATATAAGGACTAAAATGAACTAAAGTCAAAAGTAGGAGGATCAAAATAGTATTTTAAACTTTTTTTATCTTCATTTTCTTGCATTGGAGCTTGGTTTTTCATTTAAAACTTCGTTGAAGTATAAATTCCTTGATGGCAATTGGTGTTATTTTTTCACGTTTGTGGTTGCAGCTTGAGAGCAGTGGGAAGTTTTTGGTAGAGGGGAAAAGAGTAACTCTGCGGTCTAGGCGTGGTTGACAATTTTGTAGTGTAGTATGAAAATTAAATACCTGTGGCGATCTGTATATTGCAGAGAGATTAGAGGACAGTTCTATATGCTCTCTTGTGGTAATTTTTTCTTTTTAAACTGAATTTTGTCCCATCAGGCATCAACCATTTATTTCTTCTGCCTCAACCAACGGCTGATTATAAGTAGGCAGAGGCCATGATAGAAAGAGCTTTAATTATTTGTATTATTATGTTCATTGGATTATGGTATTGGATTCTAAATTATATCCAAATTTGGCTGCTACAAGTTACAACCAAATGTTATATGCATCTTGAAAATGGTTCTTTTTTTTTTATGCCCTTTATATATTCTTTCATTTTTTTCTTCCCAATTAAAGCGTGGTTTCTACTCTGCAATCTTACCAGCAAAATTTTTTTAGAATCACATCTTAAAAGCATACCAAAAAACCCCCTATTCTCTAGGCTGAAATTAATGTCAGATGTAATTAAATTGAACAATCTTTTTAGCTATGTACTTCTCCAAATAATCAAATCCATTGTGGTACAAAGCTTCAATTTCAGCCTTTTGCCCTCTATCGACCATTAAAGCCAGCTCTTCACGATAATTATCCTGCCAATTTTATGTATTCTAAGGATTTTGATAACCTAAAATGCCAAAGAATCAAGAGATATTGAATAAAGTACACACCTGTAATGTTTCCGAGGACATCAAACTTTTGGCAATTTGTAGGTCCCGGGGCTTGAGTGAAACCAAAGATTCTTGGGGTAGCAGTTGTAAATCGTCTCCTCGTACTCCTAGCCATTTAACATTGCAAGCTGGTAAAGTATAGAGATTCTTCAGTTTTATAATCTGAGATCAGGAGTGGATTAGAAGAATCAAAATGAATGAGACATGCCGTATCTGTATGCCTCCAAGCCCATCCCAATACTTCCGTACTTGAAGGTACATAATATGGCCAATCCAGCAGGGTTCCTTAAGAACCCAGAAAGCTAAAAGTAAGAAGAGAATTCTAGAGTTTGTTGGTGAGTTGATGTAAAAGAGATTCATACCAATCAACTAGGCCCAGAATTGGTAGATTGGGAAACTCTTCGCTAATTCTGTGAAGAAAATACCTGAGGAGGCAGTTCATAAGTTTTAAGTTGTTATCACCATCAAGGCAACGAGGAACTGCAGTTTTGGAACAACTGGTGGATGAAATTACCTTGTGGCTATGTCTGGATATCCTTTGGCTGTGATAAGAATACTCGGAAAGTGATTGAAAACACGATCCTCCAACAGCCGCTGAAAGATCGCATGCTGTATAACCAATAATGTTCGACATTTTTGCTCAGATTAGGATCAACTACATCTTCTACATTATTGTTTTCTCTCACGAGTATAACTAATTAGCAACTCATAAGTTGAGAAATTTTACCTTTTCGACTACAATTATGTACCGAGCGTCAGTCTTCAGAGTCAACTTCTGCAGCAGGTTCAAGTCACCAGAAATAGCATATCCAGAAGGTCCACAGGCAGCGCAGTCCACAACTTCATCCCCTGGCTCCTAGAGCAATTAAATTGTTTAGGAAGGATTCAACGTCCAAGAATTTAGTTCAAGAAACCTTTAAAGTGCGTGTTGGCTAGAGACCAAGTTACAAAACTAAACTTGTATTGTCAATCGCCTCATTTCAAGGATTTAATTGTCGTGTGAAAGAAGATCAAGAAGGACTCAATACAAGCCGATTTTCACTTCATGCAAATATATGTAATGGTGAAATGTAAATAACCAAACCAATATGAAAGACAGAGCAATGTGCCTGCAGCAGTAGACGGCCGGCGACGAGTCCCCTGCTAGATGCCATAATTCCAAGGCTATAACGGCTGCATCGAAGTAACGCTACAACATCTGCACTAAAACTACTCAAATTCAATCATTAAGTTCAATACAGTTTTAGGATCCAAGACAGGAAACAGTTTCTGTTCATCGAATAAAACCTTAAAACCACCAAGAAAGGAGAAAAATCACCTTGAATTGTCCTATTGACATGCAATTGAGTCGGGAAATAAGCAGGTGAATCACAGAGTAGCTTGTAGAAGAGCTCCCTCTGCGTCACTCGCTTTTCCTGAAGCAGAATCTGAGAGCACATCTCCATCAGCTTCCACACTAAAGCACAAAGAGGAAAAGATCGGAAGAGACCAAAACAGAGGCTGGCAAATCATCATTTAGAAAATCTGATCGTCGAAGATTAGACATCGGTTACATTACCTCTAACAAAAGCCTCAGCAGCATTGGCTCTCATCAAAGACCTCGTGCAAAAAGAGTGCGAAAGGTAAATCCACGATACATCCGTCAAAATTCCTCGATTCACCCCGCTGTTGCTCGATCTTCGATCAATCTGTCCAATCGAACACAATTTCCAACTCAGTAGCCTGTCCGGTCGCAGAAAATAGTATCCGATTGCAAACACGGAAAGAACCAGAACTTAAAAGTTCATAAAACTCGTATCGACTGATTTCTTCTCAGCAACCTAAAAAGCGTCGTACCAGAGGAAGATTTGAGATGGCAGGAGTGGAGGAGGTGAGAATTCTGAGGAAATTGAGGACCGCTACCTGAATTCTCGCCAGGACCTGCATCGAAATCAATGCTGGGGACGGAAGAACACGGATCGGAGAGCAGAGATGAGAGTTGTATAGCTTACCTCTTGAGGAGTGAGGATATCGGCGTAGCAGAGTTCTTGATCGGAGAAAAATCTCATGGAGGATTTGAATAAACCCGCCGGTTCCATTCTATTCAATTTTTGAATCTTTTTGAGTTAAATATCTAGCCTCTTGGACATCATCTAGATTCTAGGCCATGTTTATAAAAATTACTACTGCACCATTCTGGCTTATTAATCTTTTTTTTAAATTAAAATAATAATAGTCAAAATGAACGTAACTTTGATATATAATATATACTTATGAGTTCCATCCCTATTTAATATTAATAAATAATGAAGTAAGGGTAAAAGTAGTAATTTAAATGAAGTAAGGGTAAAAGTAGTAATTTAATTATAATAAACGTGTGGTGGGAATCCCAGGATTTGATTTAATTCCATATGGTGTTAGAGAAAGCATGAAACTAATAAGTTTATTTAAGAAAATATTATTATTATTTATTGTCGATTTAATTATAGAAAAAAAAATGTTTGGAGAAATGTTGTATCCATAGCTCAAACTCATGATTTTAGAGATATCAACAAAATCACACAATGCCACTTCACCTAACAAATTATTCAAAAAGTTTATCTGACAAATTGAACAGTTTTCAACAACGTACTTCACACCACGTCAGCCATGGACCGCCATTGGAGTTGACGTGAAATTAATAAAATCCTCTCTGGAGAGATAATTATAGAAAATAAATAACATACTTAGTAAATCAACAATTTGTTTTAAACTTATTACACACACAATAAACTTTTATTTTATTTCACAAGGTCATCAATACATAAGTTTATAACAATAATCATGACCACAATTTTAGACCCTTTGCACCACACAATATAAAATAGGGAAAGTTTCAACTATATCTTATAAATTAAGCAGGTCCAATGTGATTGCATTATGCAACCAAAGCTGCAACCGAACCAACAAAAGCTGCATTCATATAAGTCGTAGGTTCAGAATGAGAGTAGTCTGTTCTCAAATCACTGAATTGGTCATTTGAATTCGGACCTCCTACTATGGCACCGATGTGTGTGTTCGGATCTGGATTGTTTGAATGAAAATAATTCGAATAGCCGTCGTTGCAACCAACTTTTGTTGGGTGAGCTTTTATTGAAGGGATGGATGAGGCTCTATGATGCAATTGTAAAGGATATTTGCTACCGAATCCTACCATGTATGACATCTTTAAGGGATTTTCCCCTAGTATATAATCCACCTTCACCATAGAAAAAATAGTGATTTAATTTAAGTGGTTAGGTAAGGCAAGTTAATTTAAACATTAATTTTAATATATCGTCAAACATTGTTTCTCTATGAATATATTTAATATATTAATATATTAGATTTGATTTAAAAGAACTCAACCTATCTAGACTATTAATATTAGATATAGAAAAGATAACTTTATAAGTATGGTGAATGATTAAAAAAAAAATATTTTTAACTTATTAGATATGCTTATCAATATTTTGTACGTTATTTTCTTACTAATTAAAAATGTCTACATAAGGTATTTAAAACACTATTTTAACTATCCTTTCATGTACTTTCTTAAATGAGTTAGGTTAAAATAAATTAAATCCTAGGTATGTAATCATCCATAATTCTTCTATCTTTTTCACAAAAAATTCACCTCAACATTTTATGATATTTTCTATGAGTATCATTAAATTCCATTTTTTTACCAAAAGAATCTATAAATAAGAAAAAAAAACATGCCTCAACATTTTATGACTTCTTAAAATGTCACGAAATCTTTTTTGTTTCGTGACGTAAAAAAAAGATCATAAATGTACAAAAATTCCAAACATTCCGTGTTTTCGCACCAGAAAAACGCGCCTCCAATATTTTATGATATTTTTCTTATATTCATTTCTTTTTACTTACTTTCATGAAAACTCAAATTTATCATAGTGAAAATCCTCCAAAACTTACTTGCGATTTTGCAAAAGTTTTGATCTGAGAAGAGGGGAAATATTTGGATCCACAATGGACTCCACCAACACCAGCTTTGTCTAAGAGCCTAGAGTAGATGAAAAGCACCATGGAAGAGCTACACACATACTGCAAATTGCTACTGTCTCTTACAAAAAGAAGCCCACCTACAAAATAACAAAATTTGGCAAGTTCATCATGAAGCTTTCACCAATTATTTTTTGAATGAGTTGATATTTTCATAGAGGAAGCTCTCAAATTTATACCAGGCGTCGTTGAAATCCGAGAAGAGCTGCTACCAGGCATCACCGTGCAAATAAACGATTCTGCATCGTTCTTAAACTTGCTCAACTCTTTCTTTCCTTGATAGAATTCCTATAAATATAGTCGTCGAAGGTATTAGAATAATGTGATTGTCACTCTCATATATGTTTAAGTATAAAATATTTTTGTTTCTTTGATTAAAGTAGAGACCTTTGCTAATAATGTTTGAGCTCCAGCAAATTTGTTGTCCCAACTAAATTCAGACGCAGCCTGACTCCAACCTTGATTGCTTGAAACATAATTCAAGTATTTGCTACTTCCACTTGCTTTGTATAGCCAAGCCGCAGCCCATAGCAACTCATCCTACAACACAATAAAACACATGTAATAAATGATAATGGATTTCTTTTTCCTTTCTTTTTTTTCTGACTTTGAGACGATACTGAGAGGGGGGACGTGCATTGTTTGGACAACCGACCTCCTCATATCTCCTTATATCTCTATAACAGCACGATGTTACATTTTCTATAAATGTAAATCAAAACTATATGATATTTTTTAATTCTATATGAATGAGATGAACTTGTCACCATTACTTTTATACCAAGAATTTTTTCGCCAAAGCGAGCATAGGATAATTGACCTATATCTGAAGATTATGAATTCGATCTTCCATCCCACATGTTGTATTAAAAAAAAATGATCCCCAAATCTCTGGCCCTTCCTTCTTCATCCTTGTGTCCTCAATCTTTTGAAGTCATTTAATTAAAACACAATTAATATTTTATTTAATATTATTTGATTACTAATTTTTCAATTTTTTTAAAGAAATACTAAATTGGCACGATATGCTAAAGCTTCACAAATATATATATAGTTGAAAAATAATAAAATTTATATAATATACATTGAACTATAATCTAATTTTATATATACACACTAATTTAATTAAAATTAAAGGCTTAAAAAGTAACATACTATAACAAGCATTAAAAAAAAGAAAAAAAAAATAGATAGGAAGCTAAATGGAAAAGTCATCTCTAACCTTGCCCCACCCTGAACACCTATTTCCAAAAAGGACAAAAATTTTCCATTATTTAATATTAATTACCTGATAGCCTGAATAAGAACAGTAGAATGGACAAGAAGCAGAGTAGGATCCTCTAAACCGGTCAGCAAACTGAAACAACTGCCCATGTAAGAACGACGACGTTTCAAAATTGGGAAAAAAAAACAAATAATAATAATAATAATAATAATTTTGTAAAATTAATTCTCACAGATTTGGAGTGTTGAAGTAGAGTTCTGGAATAGTTGGCGTCGACGCGGTTGAAGACGATGGAAGCGGCGGAGAGCGCGGCGGCGGCGTCGGCGGCGGCTTCCGTTCCGGGAGAATTTGGCGTTATCTTATAAAGCGTTCGGGGAGTGTCCATGTCCTCCGGCCGCTCCCAGCACTGATGATCGCTATTTCCGTCCCCGACCTGTCCCCATCCCCATAATGCAAATTATATTTTCATTTCTCTTTTCCACGTAGACTTTTCTAATTTTTGAATATATTTTAAATAAAATTTGGCTTGGGAAGGAGCAATTTTGTCCTTATCCCTACCGTTGAGTTATGCTCGCTTTTGACGAGTTTCTACTATTATATATTAAGGAGGAACAACGTAAGTTTAAATGATAAGTTCTAATCAATTTTATGTTTTTAACAATTTTGTTATCTGTTCACAATTTTTTAGTACGTTTTGACCTTTTCTAAAAACACATTTGAATTCTTATCCAAATTTTAAAAATCGAAACAAGTTTTTGAAAACTATTTTTTCTTTTAGTTTTTAAATTTTATCTTAGATTTAAAAAAATGTTTCTAAAAGGTAGATAGAAAAAAAAACATGGGTGAAACTTAAAAGTAATTGAAATGTTTGACTAGTTGAACTATTCTATTGTTTTTCTTTTCTATTTTGTGATAAAAAAAATAGTTCTTTTTCTTTATTTAAATTGAAATGTATAAAAACCTGAGTATAGAGTGTGGTGGGTGAAGTATGAGCTCTCAATATGAAGTCTGCGCCCCACCGGACGGAGCTCCGGAGGTGATCCAGCTGCTTCACGGACGCTATCTCTTCCTCATATTCCGCCGCCGTCCAACTCAGCAACGCCACCGTGAACGCCATCGGCCACCCGAATTTCACATTGTCGCCCGCGTCGTAGTAACCGCCTACCAAATTCACCTGCCCAAAAAAACCACCCTCCAAATGCTATGAAAGAAAAATTTTAGACATCGATTAAATCACCAATAAATTTAAAAATTAAGTTGAGGTGAATAAAAAAAAAATAGTACACAACATTAATAAAAAGATAAATTTTACGAGGTAGTTTATAAGACAACTGTTTCTAAGATGATTGACATCATTAGATTTGAACATATTCCTTGTCATTTTGGACGAATGAGTTAACCCATGATTCATGATTAGTTTAACGTGATATAGTCAATATAATTATCAGAGTGTATCTAATTTCGTGAGCCATAATGTTAAAAATATGAATATGAATAAAAGATAAATTCTATTGTAATCAATTATCTTCGAGTTTAATGAATAGATCAGATTTGCCACAAGCTTTGAAGTATAAGCAATACGTTAAACTTTGAGTTTAATATTTCAACAGAAATAACCGTTTTTTCTCCTACATTCTCAAGGCCTCCATCGGAGAGTGCAGAGTCACCACGCCACTTGACTCGTTGCGCTTCTGACAACTTTCCCGACCGCTGTCCCTCAAAGAACAACACGGCCTTGCCAAGCGCATCGCCGTAGTTAAAGGCGTGTTCTGCAACCCCACGAGAGGCGACGAACACCGCGCTGCAGATGATCCAAGTATCCCATATCGCGGATCGACGTCCCAGCTCCATGAATTTAGAAGATGGATTATGAATGGATGGGGAAAGGATAAAAGTTAGAGAGAAAGAAAAGAAGATTGGTATTACTTATAGAAGATGAAAGAATGGAGATGGTGTGGGGGAAGGGAATTCGGTTGGGAATGATGGAAGGGTGTTTGAATTTTGAGACAATATCCAAATTCCCAAACCATTTCCTTAACGTCATTTAGATACAATCCCACTACCACTTTTATGTGGAAAACCTAATTCTCTACTTGTAGTAATCTTGTCTTGTCAAACCATGTTCATCATCATTTCATTTCAACTTTGTTTCTTGTTTTATGTTTTATATTTTGGTCGAAATTACAAGTTCAGTTTTTGATCTTGAGGGATTGTGTCGATAATAAGAACTCGCATTTTGAGAAGTCTAATAAGTAGTTGAATTTTAAAAGAACTTGATTAAGTCCTCGAATTTTAAGTTACCTGTCAAATAGTTCACTGATTTGTTTTTTAAATTTGTGTGGCCTTTTAATTATATGTCTAATAGATATACGAATTTGTTAAACATAAAGTTGAAAGTTAAAAGACTTAAGTTTTAAAGTTTAATAACTCTATTAGATACAAAATTGAAAGTTTAGGGATCCATGCTAATGCGAGCATAACTCAATTAGTTAAAGCATATATGGTATGATATAGTTCTCTTTTATAAAAATAGGATAAACATAATTTACCTCTTTACAAGTCGGAGAGGTTCGAATCCTCCATCTCTCCTACTATACTAAAAAAATTTTAAGGGTCATTAAACACTTGTTAAAATTAAGGACAATATTGACACTACATTGGGAGTTCAAAAATTAAATTTATAAGAGCCGTTTGGTAATCATTTCATTTTATGTTTTTGATCTTTTGATTTTTGTTTTTGAAAAATAGGTTTGTTTTGATAACCAATTAAATTTTATGTTTTTTAAACATTTTTTAATATCTAAGTAAATTAAAAAAAATTAGCTTTTAAGAACCGTTTCTATTTTTCAAATTCTCATTTTTATTCTTCACATATTTCTCTCTTAAATTTCTTTCTCACTCTAAAATTTTTTCATTCATAAATTTCTCTTTTTAAAAAGTTTATATTTCTCTCTAAATAAATTTCTCTTTTTAAAATATTTATATTTCTCTCTCTCCAAAATTTTATCTTTATATATTTTTATTTAACATATCACTTTCATTTTTCTCCCTCTAAAATTTCTCCTTTTATATTTTCTCTCTCTTTCTAACCTATTTTTATATTTAGCAAATATATCTCAAACTTTTCTCTATCTAAATATTTTATCTTTCAATTTTCTTTCATTATAATTTTTTTCTTTTTATTTATTTATTTTTCTCTACTAACAAATATATCTTGAATTTTTTGTCTAAATTTTTTTCTCACTATAATTTTTCTTTCTTTTTCTAATTTTCTTTCTTAATTTCTCTTAACATGTCATATGCTCTTAACTTTACTCCCTTTCTCAAAACTTTTATCTTTTTGTCTTTAATTTTAATCTCACCCGTTTTTTTTCTCTAACTTTTCTATACTAAAATTTTTAATTTATCTCTCTAAATTTACTCTCTTAAATTTCTTTTAATTTTTTTTCTCTCTAAACTTTTATTTTTCATGTCCATACATTAAGGATGAAAAACCCTCCTGAAGGTTGGGTACCCGATCGAAGAATAGAGAATGTATTTCTTACCATGCCTCAGCTCCCTCCCCGATTCCATTTTTTAAATAATAAATATATATTTTATTAACTATTTTTACAAAATTATGAATAAAGTATTAAATATTTTTAAAACTAATTAACTTTACTAGTAAATAATAAGTTTTCAGTAAATAAAATAATTTATATATATTTATTACTCTTTTTTATTTTTTAAATTCTAGAAATATTTAAAATTTTATTACTAAACGAGTCATATTTTCCATGAAGATCTTCGTCTTGAAATGAAGATATTCCTCGTCCTCAACCTTGATTTCGAAATCGGAGAATGGGTGGGGATGAGAATTAAAAATTTCGAGAAGTACAAGGTGCGTAGGGGAGAGCATCCCGACTCATACTCATTTCATTGTCATATCTACTTTGATAGATTTTCTCTCTCTAGCACATCTCTTCAACTCTAGGACTTTTTAAAAAAGAAAGCAAAAAAGGATTATCAAACACTTTCGGTTTTTTATTTTTGAAAACAAAAAACAAAAAACGTTATAGAAAACATATATGATTTTTATTTTTTTAAACTAAAAACACAAAAAATAAATAATAAATAATAGAAGTCGTTATCAAACAACCTTTAAATTTTTATTCACTGTATCTTGTTTTCGATTTTTATAAAAACAACTATTTTTCTAATTATTTCTTATTTTTCGTTCTTATTTGTTTTTATTGCAAAAAGAAATAGAAAGGTATTGATCTATTAATTATTATTAAATAATCAATTTAATCACTTAACCTTGATGATAGTGTTGATTCAGTATTCGGTATTTCAACTTCAAAAAGTTTTAGTTACCTTTGAAAAATGATTATCGTGATTACAATAAACTGATGCCCTTTACACTTATTAAACTATTACATTATGATTTGGCACAAGATTTTATAACAAAGTAAGCTAATAGCGATAAAATAAAGGTGAGTAGACCATATAAAATTTGATTTGACTAATTGATGAAGTACACTGTAAACCAAAAAATTATTTGCGAAACAAATTTGGTTTGAAATGTATTCTACGCACTCACCCGTCAAATTTATTTTTGCTCGTCTAACTTTGCTCAAGTTATTTACATGTTGACTTCAATATTATAAGAATAAAAAGATACGAAGTCAACTGACTCACGTAGAATACGAGGTTTAGGGGTAATTTATATTATAAAACTTCTACAAATGTACCTTAAAAAAAAGACGGAGGAGGAATTTCTACCTTTTTACACTCACACCTTCTTAATTATTCTCATTCACTCTTTTTACAAACTCAGATTCACCTCCTCCGTACTACACGAATTTGTGAACGACAAAGAAGAAATTTCTAACTTTCATATGACATGGTTGTGTGAATCAGTAATCTTCTGTAGAAATTTTTTATAAGTGGCATACATTGGACGTAATTTAATGAGAAATCGTGTACAATGTACGCCATTTAGCTGCTGACTCATCCCTCCATGCCTAGCATCCGTAAATCGTGCATAATTTACACCAGTTTTGAACTAACCTATTTTTATCAATACTTTTGATATCTACTTTAATTTTAAATTTTTTTTATTGAATTTAATTTTAATTTATTATTACTTTGAAAGCTGTATTACATTTGTAATTTCTTTTTTAAATTACATTATTTATAAAATTACCCCGAGGTTAAATAGGGTCTCTCCATCATCACCTCAAATAGACAACACGTTCTCCGATAGATCAAGGGGTTGAAGAATTGCGGAGAGAATTTTTTTTCTTTAATAATTATTTTAGAATAAAGATTAATTTAATATAATTAATAATAACATAGCTCAAATATATACCAATTATTACTATGCTCGCTTTTTAACTTTTATTTCATATATACTTTAGCATCTTAACATTTGTTTTCTCTTTTTTGTTATTGGAAAGTTGGTCTCTTAAATATTTTTTTGATATGTTCCCTAGCATTAGGTAAAAGAGAAAATTATTCTTCTTTATTCTCTCAACCAAATCCCTATGATTAAATTGACAAATTTAAACAATTTTTCAAAATACTTAATTAACTTTGTGACAGAATGATCACATAGTTCATTTTACACTAAAGTTATTTTGTTTTTTATTCTATTTTTTAACTTCAATAACATTTGTTTTCTTTTTGTTATGGGAAAGTTTGTTTCTTATATATTTTTCATATTTTTCATATTTTTCATTAGGTAAGAGAGAAAACCGAACCTCATTTTTCTTCTTTTGAATTATAATAGAGTATCGAGTATAAAGAAGCGTGTAACCTTATCCACCAAATCCCTAATAATGGAAGTGACAAATTTAAATAGGTAATTTTTTTGACAAAAAATTAAATAGGTAATTTTATTAACTTGGAGATAGAGATATCAGGTAATTCATTTTACAATAAAGTTATTTTGTTTTTCATTAAATTATTTTAACATCATAAAATTTGTTTTCTTTTTGTTATTGGAGAGTTGGTCTCTTATTTATTTTTTCATATGTTCCATGGCATTAGGTAGAAGAAAACCAAACTTCATTTTTCTCTTCGTCTGATTATAAGAGAATTTAATATCTGCCAAAATCCCTTTGATTGGAGTGGCAAATTTAAATAGGTAATTTTCAGAATATTTGGATGCCAAAATCAAACGGGTAATTAACTTGGAGATAAAATTAGCACTTAGTTTCATTTTACAATAAAGTTATTTGGCTTCCATTCTATTCTTTTAACATCAAAAGTGTTGTCAAAATTAGCATAGAACGATAATTAACATATATCTCCAACCAAGAGATTGTGAGTTCGATCTCCCACCCCTACATGTTGTACTAAAAAAACATCAACAATATTTGTTCTCAAAGTTGGTCAAAAAAGGTAATTAACTTGAAAATAGAGTTGGCGGTGAATTTATTTTACACTAAAGTTATTTTGTTTTTCATTCTATTCTTTAACATCGTAATATCTTTAACATTAGCATAACTCAATAGTAATTGACACATATTACTTCTCTTGAGGTCGAAAGTTCAAACTCTCCTACTCCCAATTAGTTGTACAAAAAAACATCATAACATCTATTTCCTTTTTTGTTATGGGAAAGTTGATCTCTGATGTATTTTTCATATGTTCCATGACATTAGGTAAAAAAGAAAACCGAACCTCATTTTTCTTCTTTTGATTAGAAGGAAAAACTCAATACAAAGAAGCGTGCAACCTTCCCTGTCAAATCCCGATGATTGGAGTGGCAAATTAAAACAAGTAATTTTCTAGAATACTCGAGTGTCAAAATCAATAGAATGAAATCAATGAGAATGATAAGGAGTCGTAACGAAAAAGAATTAGCAGTTTGTTCATTTTATAATAAAACCCGTTTACTTACTAAGAATTTGAATGATAAGGAATGTAATGAAAAATCAATTGAAATAGAAATATTATTTCTTTAATGTTTGTTATGAAATTGAAATAAAAAATATATTGATCTTATTTACCAAAATTGTCTAGAATTGGAATAAGAATCAAATATATCAAAATTACTATAATACCACTTTCTTATTTCTAACTCATTACAAATTCTTTAGCTAAAAAAATGCTCCAATGTTATTTTTTAATTAAAACAATAATAAAATTTTATTTTATTACCATTTTATTTATAGTAAATGTTTTTAATTATAAAAAATTATTGAATATTAACACATAACAAATAATTAAAATAAAACTATATCAACTAAAAAGTATTACTATAATTTTTATTAAAATAACCACCATTAATATGAAATATTATTCAACTTTTTTGTTATAATAATTTATAAGAATGAAATCTATTTTAACAATTTTATTTATATTAATTCTTAATAACAAATAAAATTAAATAATTGATCAATTGTAAAAAATTGTAATACCTTGTAAAAAAAATTACATTTACTAATAAAAGTTGTATAATTTTTTTTAGAAGAAAAATTATTAGTAGTATAAATAAACCAAAAAAAAAGTAATAAAAAAATCGTAGAATAATTAATAAAAAAAATTATGTACTGAAATGATAAAAGTTATAAAGTAATTATTGAAATGATATAACCTCCTTCATCATAAGTGAAAACCAAAGATGAAAGCGTAACCTTCTCTAGAAAGAGAATCCGAGTAATTGGAGTGGCAAATTCAAACAGGTAATTTTTCAAAATACTTTTGAGTGTCAAAATCAAACTGGTAACTTGTAGATAAAGTTAGCAATTAGTTCATTTTGCACTAAGTTATTTTGTTGTTCGTCCTATTATTTAACATCATAACAAATTAAAATTGTTGTACTCAGAAAGAAGAAAAAAAAAAAAAGGAGAAAAATCATAACAATTGTTTACCTTGTGCTACTGGAAAGTTGGTCTCTTGTATTTTCATTTGATCTATGGCATTATGTAAAAGAGAAAACTGAACCTCTAAAACGTACTGTAGAACGAAAAAGTAGACCTTTACTTGGCCTCTCGTGCCATTATGTTTTCAATACATTTTCCACAATAGACACACACACACGGTTTGGGTTAAGTTACACACACGACCCTTACGGTTTGGGTTGAGTTCGTCACGACCCTTACGGTTTGGGTTGAGTTCGTTGGGTTGTCGGGTCTTTTTAACACCCCTACTCGCTTGTATTTCTTCTAATAATAAGAAAAAGAGTTAATATTTATTATTATTGTAGTTATTTGTTTCTTTTGAAATTTAAAAGATTTAAATCCCTAAATTGTAATCACAATCCTTTAATTACTGGGTCCATACAAATTTTCAACACTAATATGATTTATCAATATTATTAATTACAAAAATATCCAATTCTGCCGTTAGGAGCATTTCGGTATTATTCAACAGGTATCTCTCTGTTCCCTAACCTTTAATTTACTTTTTATTGTCGTTCTTGTCTAAAAGATTTAATTCCACCGGCTGCTCTGTCTTACTGTTTTCTGGGTTGTGGCTGAAAGTTTTTTAGATTTAGTTTGTTTTGGGGTCTTTCTTATGCCCGCAGGTTTTCAAATGGCCGTTTTTTTTAATTATACTTTATTGACGTTAATATTGAAAGGAGAAGAAAACACAGTTTATTTATACATAAACATGAGTATCTCTTTATATATATAATTATAATTATGCATTCAATTACGTTCATGTTGTTTCGTTATTTCATTTTTTTTTGTTTATGTTATATATAACTTATAACATATGTTCTACTTGTACTTTTGAAATCTACTGTTATTCGCGATGTAATTAACATTATGTATGTATGTCATTAAGTATGATATAACTTACATATTAAGTATTCTTATAGAATATTAACAATTAAGTATTCATTTGTATATTTCTAGGATATGACGTATACATCGTGAAAACTTTTGAAATCAAATATTATTATGGATACAGTGAATATAATATATATACTTATTAATATTGTTTTATAACTTTCATACTATGTATTATTCAAACTTATAGAGAATAATTTGATATAAATGTCAATGATTTGCATTTTTATAAATATTTGAACATTATACATTATAAATCGGATACACCCATTGAATATATACAAGAGTTCACACAACTACTTGAACATTATAAATTATACATCCGACTAAACTTTTTGAGTTATAAGATATATCCAGACATAATCTAAATTCCATATAAGTTTCAATATCTTACCACTATCTTCAAATTACTTTAATTAATACTTACAACTAAATGATTCTAACTATTTCTATATGTTATCCAATATACCAAACTCAACTAATTTTAAGGAATCAAACTCATTATAAAATATATTCCCATATATACAATAATTCACACCAAAATTTTGCACCACTTAAATCATATTTGAATCTTTGAAACTATGTTGTTAAACCATACAAAAAATAAAAAATAAAAAATAAAATAAATAGGGGCAACAAAAATCAGTAACAAAATGGAGAGAATAATGTTGGGTTTAACAGTACAAACAAAAAAAAATCAGGGTTTTCAACATTGTTCAAATCTAAAATAGAAAACTAGTAGGATATATTGAATGTAAAATATATCGAAGTTTATATGATGAGACAAAAAAACCTTTCGATCGAAATAAACAGAGATGAACGAGATGGAGAAGAACGGAGGCAGCGACCGAAGATGGAGCGGACGAAAATGGAAACGGAAGGAGACGACAATCAAACGAAAACGAAAGGACGTACTGTGATACGGACTGCTTGACAATGAAGAAGAACGGAGAGGACGACTAGAGACGCAGGAAAGCAAACGACGATCGGAGACGCAGGAAAGCAAACGATGATCGGAGACGCAGGAAAGCAAATGACGGTCAGAGATGCAGGAACAGACGGAAGACAAAGGAAGAAGAAAAGTCGGAGGAAGGGCTTTTCGATTTTTTCCAAAATGGAGGATTTTGGGGATTCCAGGGGATTTGGTATTTTTTTTCTTTTACTCTTGGAAAGTCTAATTAAGCAAAATTTAAGGGATTTAAATTATAACCTTCAAATTAACCAATTATGGATTTTAAAAGTTATTTAATATTGAGGTGTAGATACAAAAAGATATACTAGTAATTTAGTAATTTGGATGATAGATACATCTTAAATAGGATTGTTTCGCGACAAAAGAGTAAATTTTATACCTTCTAAATAGCCTATCAATATACTAATTCCTAAGAAAAATTTGAATATTAAAGAGGGTGTAAGGTTGACTGCGAAATCCTCGTGATTGGAGTGTCAAAATCAAATAAGTAACTTGAAGACAAAGTTAGCCGTTAATTCCTAAATTTGAGAACCAAATCAAGATACCAACGAATGTGCAATCTTTAAATTTTAAAAAAGTTTTCAAACCTTAGCAAAACTAATAAATGAAGAAATTGGAAAATGCTAGAAATATCTAGCGGCTTAAACGGGTTATGCTTGTAAGATGTTGCAACGTATGACATATACGTATGTAAATATAATCGGCAAAGGCACATTTCACAATTTCAATCATTTGTAGGTGCATCAGTTCTCTAGAACAACCTTTTCAGCTCAATCTAATTTCAAAAGTCCAAATTAGAAAAATGTTAGAAGTAAAAGATTGGATTCACGTCTCAATTAATGGGTGAGATTCAATTGAAATAGAGACTTTAAGCCAATAATGAGTTTAGGCATGTGGGTAAGGTAATAATGCTCCATAAGAAATTGGGTTTTAGCCTAAACTTTGGCCTTAGGCCATCGGCAGGCTTAAGTGGAGAGCCCAAACTTGAGTTTCAAAACAGGTTCTAGATTGAAAACTCAACTCCGCTTTTCCTATTCACCACACTAAAAGAAACAAAACGGAAAGTCTCCTTCTTATTATTAGGTTGATTGGTTTGAAACTCTAAACGAGGGGTTCTTGCTTGCAGCTCACCCGCTCTTGACTCATCGACTCAGTAAGAGATTATGTGAAGAATGCTAAAGTAAGCTATTGAATTTGTCCTAACCAAAGTTCTCGTTGAGTCAGGAGATGGTGTGGGAAGGACCTCAGAAACCTATGAACTGACTAAAAATTTCATGACAAACTCAGTATACAAGAATGCAGCTAACTAAAACAAAAATTTAGGGACGTTAGAGTTTGTGATTTGGTTAGCTTTCTCTCGCATAAAATTAGGTTCTGTATTGAGACTAAAACAAGTAGAAACAAAAAAAATATTGGCCCATGAAATAAAATCAATTTACCTTACGTCGTTCATCTTCTAACAGGTGGCTTTACTGTTGCAGACTTCTCAGATTCCATTGCTTCAGATAGCTTTCTCAGCTTACCAACTATATAGGCCAATCTCATCCAGTAGGCCAGTTTGACATTTTAATCTAGGCATCTAGTCTCCATGACCCTTTTTCCCTGTTTAAAACCATTAATTTCTTTCAAATGTTCAGAGTACAAGGCTGCTCGCAATGATGGGGTGGGAGAAACTAAGAGTCCGTTTGGTAACATTCCTGTTTCTCGTCTTTGTTTCTTCATTTTTAATAAAGAAAAATGAATTGCATAGCTCTAACAATTCAAGTATAATAAAACAATTTTTATTTATGTTTAGAACAAATTGGAAATGGGAACAAGAAAGAAGAAACTTACTTCGGTTCCAAAATTTCTATACAATTGTGAGAATGTTCCCAAAAAAAAGAGAAACAAGAAATAAAGTTAGTTGGAAAATACTTAGATTTCTTAAGATAATTAGAAACAAGAAATAAGAAATAAGAAACGAGGACCTTATCAAACGAGCCCTAAATAAACCCATTTAAGAAATTCACCACAAAGGGCAGATTGTATATAAGAATGGTAGGTAATTTCATAGAAGACTTTACAGCTGACCTGTACTGTACAAAATTGGGCGCAGTCTATTGAATAAACACCCCGGGTCATAAAATCTTTACTAAAATGATAAAAGAGCTATAGGAAACGGAAGAGCACCTGTACATCCAGTCAATACTGTAGGGGCAAGAAATTCTTCAACGGGTATTATCTTGTCCTTGGAACTTGTGTGTCCCTGCCATTGAACATTTGAGCTTGTGTGGATGCAGTACTGGGGGGAGTAGGAGTCGGATTAGATGAAGGTCGAGCAGATTGTACAGATTGAGTTGGCTGAATAAGTAACTGGCCAAGAGCATCAGAATAAGTTCGACCAGTAAGACTGCCACGCATTCGACCTGTGGGCTGCCAATTCTGCTCTAATGACGGTTCTACTAAACCTGCAGACGTGGGAACAGATTGAGACATTCCTCCAACATTTCTCACCTCCCCAGCAGCTGCTGTCCTATGCCCATCAGGAGTAGTTTGAAGAGAATGGGCAGATCTGGAAGTTTGATTTAGTAATGACATGGCTGCAGATTGTTTTAGCATCTCAGCTCGCTGGGAAGTAACCATCATTCTTGCACATTGACTAGATGTCACTGTGGCATAAGCAGCTCCGCCATATCCACCACCTCCTACTTGATTCATAGTTCTTGGGGATCCTAAAGATGGCCGGACATTGTTTGGAATTTGATTCCGGAGTTGGGGCATCCTCATGTTGAGAGCTTGCTGAAGGTGTGGATTCTGGAATTCCGTTAATAGACCCAAGGATGGCCTTAAAGGAGTCGATGCTTGAACAGTTAGCCCAGGAGTGAAGGAACGATCTTGAGGATCCCGGATCTGAGAGTATAAGCAAATAAATTATAGGTTAACATCTACAGTAAAATGATAGACTCTGCACAATGTATCATCCAGGAAATCGGGGGGCCATAAATTCAGAATGAAAACAAAAACGTGAACACTCCCTGTAGGCCATCGATCAAATAATGTCAATTCCTAAGGAGCTGGTCCAATGGTAAAGGCTTAATGCTTGAAAATATGCTGCTTTTATTTAAATTCTTGAGGTCATGACCTTACGGTTTGAACAAAAAATTCATCCTGACTTGTGTCACGAAACTTATGTTGACCTGGCACAAATCTCACTGTATCTAAAAGTAATGAAATTTAACTAACACCACCAAAAGTCATATCCATTGAAAATAAAAACATTAAAATAGATGACCACTTGAAGATCATGGAAACAATATAAAATAGCACCTGCACTGTTGGTGGGCGCTGAAATGGAGCTAGGTTTGTTGCACGATGTGGATCTCCATGATGTATCGGAAATTGCAGTCTCCGTTCTGAATCACGAGTTATTGTATTTAAACCGTGTCCAACTTGTGGAGCTGAGGAAATTGTTGAGGTTCTTAAACTATACAGCTGGCCTGATCCTTGGGACTGAGCAGGAAGGGCTTGAACTGTAACTGGAGTCCTGCTGACAGGTCTTGGTATTAATGTCATCCTCCCATACTGATTATTTTCATTTGAGTTCAAAGCTTGAACCTGCAAATTTTGATCATGCAATGCAGGAGATGAAAAGGCGGCATGTCCTGGAACCCCCACACCATGATTAAGAACAGGTGCGACAGCTTCGGTCAAGACAGCGGATTGCATAAGATCAGCAGAACTAGTTGCAGGCGTGCTATTACCCAATGGAGCATCTGACCTAGTAATAGAGGTCAAAGTCTCATCTATTCCAGACCAAAAGTCATCCTCCAAGACAGCAGCAAAATTTTGATTTAAGCTATTCCTGTTCATTCCAGATGATATATTTAAACTCGAAGAAACCGGTTGGTTTTTATTACTAAGACAAGGTTTTCTGTCTTCAGTCTCAAGATTGCAGATGTTCATATTATCATCAACTTCAGTAAGATCTAACACGTCAGGAGGAGCAGTAGACTCTTGCTGTGCCCCTCCATTCTGGTTTTTGAGAGAATCTTCCAATGGCCGACCATCCCCATAATCATTTAGGATGGCCTTCCATGATCCATCAGCTGAAATAATCACTTCAGTGACGTTCTCTCCCACTTCTCTAAGGACCTAACGGAAATACAATGGATTCATAGAATGAATTAAAGCGAAAAGAAAAAATTGCAGATGAAAATGATATTCGGAAAAGGTTGATCACTACACTTGCCTTCAACATATTTTGATCAACACGAATATCCAAATAGCAAATGTACTGGTTACAATGTGGGCATCGCCAGGATGGTCTTCTTGAATTTATGTCAATGAAGTTATCAAAATCAAAGCACTGCAACATACAGAAAGGCACTGATATTAAACCTAAAGAAAACTTTTAAGATATAATATTCAGTAAACTCATGTACTACAAGACAATCTAGCAAAAAAACAGAATGGGTACACATGTAAAGGCACCAAGGTGCATGCTACAGTTGCCAATTTTCTTGACAGAAAAAGATAAATATATGGAAAAGATTTAGAACGATCATGCCAAGATTAAGGTATCAACACCTTTCAGATGCCATGGCAGGGAACGCTTACCTGAAGATGTTTACAAGAACAACCTTTCACAGGAACCTTGATTCGGGTATAGCTGTTTCACATTGAGAACAGGAAGAATCGATCACCACGTCAATCATTAAGTTACATAAAAACTGAAACTTGACCCGATCATAAACTTCATCTGGTGTTCGATAGGTGTGTCAGCAAGAAGTGACAATATATATATACATATGTATGCATGTGTATATATGTATGTATGTGTGTGTATTCAAGTAACAAGTAAATTTTGTATACATTGTCAAACACGGGATATGATAATAACTTCTCTGACCTCATCCATGTAATTACGAATGTAAAATTTCAATTTTCCTTGGGTGGGGGTGGGGGTGGGGGTGGCTTGAGGGGGGGAGATAAATAATTAAGCAAGCAATTTCTAAATTCAATATCGATGGTAAAAATAGATGCTTTACTGTTAAAGAAACCACTGCACTCACTTTTGACGCACGGATTCTCACAACCAAGGTCTAGGTAATCGCATACTTAATGACTCTGTGGTCTCTTTCTATACTTTCTGAAAGGCAATTCTATCTTTAGCTCTATACTGGTGTAAACGAAAATACCAACTTTCAGATGCTATCTATTCTTTTGGCTGGACGTCATTTTTGAAATCTAGGGTCATCAAATAGTGAATCAGATCATGTTTTTTATGAGAATCGAGATTGCATATCATAGCAAATAAAGATCATAAAATACATTTAATTTTTATTTTGAATTATGCATCACCCAATAGTATGGTTCAGCTTAAATCTAATTAAAAATGTAATTCATAAGAAAAGCAATATTATTCAGTCATTCCCACGTGTAATCAATGTGTTCCTTTTTTTCTTGTCTTGAGATTTGATGGTTCCTCTTCTTCTTCTTTTTCTTTTTTTTTTTTGGGATGGAAAACTTAAGAAATATATTAATCACAAAAAAGAACAGCCTAGAGCAAGGGTAGAGGAAACTTCTTCCCAAGGTCACTAAGTCATGAACGCCTTCCAATTTTGAAGGATCTAGCAAAGGGAGTAATTAAAAAAAAAATTTGCTATAAGCGTCGCACCACCTAGAAGTAGTAAGCTGTACATTACCCCACAAGCTTTTGATGGTTCCTTTTCATTCTAGTTTTATAACTCAGATGCTTAGACTCTTGATATATATTTTTGAATTTGATGTAACTGGTACAGCTATCTATTCGACTATTCCCCAGTGCCCATCTGCCATTTTCTTCAATGCTCTACCTATTCAATATCAAGCTCTAAATCAGAATTTGCTTTCACGTTTTGTGCATCTCCATCAGAGTATGTTGCAGTTATTTATTAAATTTTATTGTTTTGTTATCCTGTAACTCCAGTTTTGTGGGTTTGAGCATTTAGCTAATCTCTAAAGGGTTTCTCCATTTCGACATCAGGTAATACAGCAAGCCTAACTGTCTATGGTGAATCAATAATTACAATTCAAACTGTTTCAGGTGATTCCCTCCCGTGAATCATGCATCTTAGCTAATGCATGGTTTCATTATTTCATTTAGGAACAATTCCTACTCTTTCATTTTAGACCACACACTTTTACTAAATTATAAAACATGCTTGTTTTATAAACCTTACATACAACTATTTCAGCTTCCCCTTCTCCATTTATCCTACTGGAACCTGACCCCATCACTCCAATAGTTATGTAAGACAACATAGCATATCCATGAACAGTTAAATCCTATGCTTTCCACAGCGATGAAAATCAATAAAAATCCTCTGTTTCAGATCAGTGGCAAAACAGTCCAAGCCTATGCTAATTATCTCACACGTCACATCACGAGGAATTCATACATAAATAGCATGCAAATAAATTTAAGCACTGCAATGGCTGAAACTGAAAGTATCAGAATTGTATGCAGAAATTGTCTATATAACCTTATTGGGCAATTAAGGGATATTCGTGATGGGCCCTCGATTATGTCAGAATCTGAAACCCAAAGAAAAATTAGTTACTAACATCCAAAACCATGGCATAAAGAAATGAAAATGCATTTAAGCCATTAGCGAGACCATCCTGAACTGAATTACAAATATATAATGATAAATAAATAAATTAAAAAAGAAGAGAGAACAACAACAAAAGAAGGTTTCCACCTGCCCTTCACAATTGTAGCTATACCTGAATCCACAGTAGAAACAACTGGCTGTACATGGTCTTGCAGCATTGATGAATCAGGCGATGGTGCAGTGCCTATAATGGCAACTGCTATAGCATAATGTCCTAAACAAAGATTAAAGGGACTTTTAGAGACATATTATGAAATAGGGTAAAATACAATTTTGGTCCCCGCGTTTGAGGATAGGTTTCTAAGGCCCCGATCTTTGGAAAATAGTTCTAAAAGGTCCCTCACATCAAACTTCTGTTAGTGTCACTGACGGAATGCTAACATGGCATTGGTGAGTTGAACATTTATTAATTTAATATTATTTTTAAATGATTATTTTTTCCTTTCTCTCTCTTCCCTCTTTCTTTCCCTTTTCTCTTCCTCTCTCTTCCTTCTTCCCTCTTCTCTCCCCTTCTCCAGCATTCCTTCCAATATTCCTTCACTCCAAATCCCTTCATCGCAGCTTGTGCTCTAACAGCTTCACTCTCCATCATCTCTCTAATCCTTCCTCCAAGTTCCAGACCCTTCTCACCGCATCCCCCAATTCTCAACCCACATTCCGAGCCCATCTTGGCAGCCAATTGCACATTGATCATCTGGTCCCCACTTTGGAGCCACTCCAACACCGGCACCCCATTCACTGCCACTTCCATCACAGAATTCCACCCACAGTGGCTAATAAACCCACCCACTGCTTTGTGCCCCAAAATTTCCAGTTGGTTCACATAATCCTTCATCACCATCCTCATATTCTTCATCTTCTCCATCTTCTCCATCAGTTCTTTCCCCACTACCTCCTCTAACCCCTCTTTGTCTTCCTTGTCCACTATCTTATCTTCCACTACCCACAAGAATCTGTACCCACTATTAACCAACCCACTTCCGATTTCCTTGATTTGCTCCCTCGACGCCGCGGTTCGGCTGCCGAAACTGGCGAAAACAACCGATCTGGGAGGTTGCTCGTCCAGCCATTTTATTGGAGATTTGGCTTCTGGGTTCTCGAATTCACTTGGCAATAAAGGGCCTAAGCCTATCACTGGGGGTAATCCATGGACTACCTCTCCATCGTTGAGCGCTGCGAGAGTATCTCCTTCCATTGCGTCCATGGCGTTGAGCAAAATCCCGTTCAGTTCTTTGACCTTCTGTCCATCTTGGGTAAATATTTTCCTGAAGATGCTGTTGTTGACGAGCAGGGGAGGAGGGAGTGAAGTTTTGGGGATTGAACCGATGGCAGGAATGTGAATCGAGTCACCAGATTCACCAGACCTTTTAGCGAACGGGTAATAGGCGAAGAGAGACAACATTATGGCGGAGGAAGTGAAGATCACGTAATTGGGTAATTTAAGGGCCGCAGTAAGTGTGAGAGCAGAGGAAATCAAGCTCACGTCGTAGACGAGGACGGAAATAGGTGGAGAGAGAGCGGCAAGTTGAGGAGCGAGGAGATGAACGGAGCGGCGAATTGCCTCAAATTGAAGAAAAAATGGGTCGTCGGAATTTGCCATAGAAGGGTCGAGAGGTAAGATTTGGAACTTCAATTCAGTGATTTGGGGAAAAGCAGAGAGAAAGCGGGAGATGAGATGGGACTCGGCAGAAGAGACGGCGGGGTGAGAAGTGATGAGGGTGAGTTTGCAGTTATGGCGGATGAGAATGTGGGCGAGTCTGAGGAAGGGTACTAGATGGCCGATGCCGGCGCTTGGGAAGAGGGCCACGTGGGTTTGGTGGCCGGAAAGTTGATCGGAATCTGACATTTCCGGTGAGACTTAGATCTCGACGGGGGTCTGAAATTCATCGTCTTCAACCTCACTGGTTAGTTTTGAAGAGAGCTTCTGGTGTCCTTACAGCCTCTTCTTCTACCTACTACGCTACGCAATAAATTTCATTTATTAGTAATTAACAGCCACAAAAACAAATAAAATTGAGGTGTTTACCAGTAAAAACACGTATATTTTATGAACAAAATTAACAAAGCACATCTAAACACTCATGAGCCGCCAGAAACGAAGATAACTTCCGTCGGCCAACTCTCCAACCAAATCTCTGTGTTATCGTAGTTTTTTTGGTTTATCGATCTTGATCGGATCCTATTTTTGAATCGGTCGAACGCTTCATTTGGTAAAAATCCTTTAGCCACTGCTGCAATTTCTCCTGATTCTGAAATGTCGTCCATTTCCTTGTATACAATTCATTAAAAAATTGATAACTATGATTCAGTCATGTTTAATGGATGAATTAACAACTCATCAATTATAAATTCCTCATACCTCTGGTCACCCAATCTAAAGAATTGAGCTACTAAGTTAAGCTTTTATAGGAAAAGTAAAATTGCTAGTAGATTAACATTTTGGGAATAGATGGAGGGGTTTTTTTTTTTTATAATAATTTAACATATTTAAAATGGTATTAAAGTGAGAGATCTTGAAACCCTGTTATTCTTCTCTATTTAATATTGATTTCTACGCTTAGTTTCTATAATGATATGGTTCACTTCAATAGAATACATTGAGTTTTGAAAGAGACCATCCTTTTAACTGACATTTCCTGACCACGAGCTAATCTTAATTTCAAAATTTTTTTCCTAAATAAAAAGCAAAAAAGGGGAAATGGTCATCGAATTTTTTTCTCAAAATGTAATTTCAAACCTTTGTTTAGACACAGCAAAAGTCTAAGAAATAAACGCACAAGATTACAATGGAAAAGATGTGGCAAAATTCACTAAGAAATAACAAGCTTTAGAATTGGTTTTTTGCCCCATCATATTTTCTTGTTTCTATTTCTGATCCATTAAACGTAATTGATAATATAATATATATATTTTAATCAAACTACAGCAGCATGAGATAAAATTAACCAACCTACATCTAAGATCCAATTTGAAAAAATAGAAAGTTTAGAGTAAAAAGATTGACTCGTCCAACCAAATTTAAGTGAAAGGATATTCATGAGTGAACATAACAAGAATACATTATAAGAGAATGACAAAATCTCTATTGACACAAGATTTTTGCTCAAAACGAAGCCAAGCCACCCGCCACAGCAACACAAACACAACAGATTGCCCCCAAAGGGGTGACCTGAGAACACAAACGTGCATTCTGATTTTTGAATCCCAAATCCACTTGTGTTCTCCGGTGCACTCCTCTGGGGTTACCCTGTTACGTACGCCGACATGTCGGAAATCCCCTCCCTCTCCCTCTCTTTATATCTTCCAAACCCGATATTGCCACCATGTCGTCATTCTCACAACACTACCAAAAAAAATGTTGTCATCGTCTCCACATTCCGGGCCCAAATTCACAGCGAAAGCCCAGTTTTGAATTCTCCAGGCCCAATTATACGGGCCTGCTAGATCCGGGCTTGCCGACATGGTCGTTTGGAGTATTTATTATATTAAATGACAGTGGAGCCCACGCTGAAGATTTTTAATTCAACCTCCACTGTTCCAGTTCCTCCAATGGTGGAATATCTGCAACTTTCCTCCATTTGGAACCACAAATTTTTTTTTTTTTTAATAATCAAAATTCATTCAATTTTCTTCTCTACAATTTATCCACTCCAAGCTCTATATAATACTTTCCTGCATAAATCTCCGTCAAATTGAATTATACGTCTTCGCTTCAAGAATGGACCTTTTTTCTAAACTCAGTGGCTCCACCGACAAGCCGGAGGACCCGGAGCACCACCGGACATCGGCTTCCGATCTCTTGTCCAGCGCCAAACTGGTGGCGGATGCGGCCAAATCCTCTTTTGGCGGCGAGAGCCACGCCGTCGACAAGGGCAAGGTCGCCGGAGCAGCCGCCGACCTTCTCGGGGCTGCTTCTGATTACGGCAAATTCGATGAAACCAAAGGACTTGGCAAGTATGTAGACAAGGCCGAGGACTATCTCAATCAGTATGAAAAGTCTCATTCCGCTCCCCACGGCTCCGACGCCGAGCCGAAGCCACCGAAGGCCGAGGAGCCGCCGAAGAAAGAGAACTCCGGCGAGGGGGAACACGGCGGATCTGGGTTTGGGGATTATTTGAAGGTGGCTGAAGGCTTCTTGAAGAAATAGTCTCTTTTTCTTTCGCAGCTGGGTGTTTCTTTTATGTCTTTCTGTGTAATTCTGTAAATAAAGGTTTGCATTTACTGCTTAACCTATGATGAATTTGGATGTTGTACTAGTTAATTTTCTCTGTTTTACTAACCCTTCATATGTTCAGTTCGTGATTTTTGTCTTGTTCTTGACAAAGAAAAAACAAGTGATTAAAGACACAGTAAAAACAGAGTAAGAACAGAGAACCCATCTGAAAACAACTTGAAATTACTGGTTATTTTTTTCCACAAAGCAATCATTAGTTTGAATACAAAAAATGAAAAGGTTCAAAAAGAAAAAATCAGTCAAATCATTACACTTTGATGGTCAACGAAGTTATGATAGGAATATTTACAAATACTAATATTGAAATTAAGAATCACAATTTAGTTTCAGCAGCAATAACAAGTAACAGGGAGGTCCCCTGTTTCTCTGAGAACATCTGCTTTCTGCTTGACTTTAAGAGTGTCGTTCCTTCGTTTTTCCTCTGCTTTGGCTCTTGCTTCTGCTGCTATTTGCTTTATAAACTCCATATCCTCCTCGAACTTTTTTCTTCCTTTTTCCCTCTTCCTCCTCTTCACTCCCACCGCCTGCAATGGTTAAACAGAATCATTTATATGTAAAATTTACAAACTTTGAAAAACAGAGATAAACTGATGATGAACCTGTGATTCTTCCAATTTGCGCATGGCTTTCTCCCTCTTCTTGGTTTCCCAGTAAGAAATTGTCTCGTTCACCTTCTCGGACCTGGAAATTTCTACCCTCTTAGACATGTGTAAACAATGACACATGGAATCTCTCGTTCTAATATCATGTTAAAATCATGTTAAGGATGAATAAATCACCCTTCAACCTAAAAGTTTAAGCTAATGGATTAGGTAAATTTAATTCATTCATTTATATCTAACGTGATGTAAAATTAGATTGATTATGGAGAGAGGAAGAAAAAGGGAGAAGAATTGAGTACTTGTTTCTGATTTTAGCCATCTCAGCCTTTTCCCAGAAATCTGCTTTTGTTTGTGTTGGATTAGATGGGTTAGTTTCTTTTGTTTCGGGTGGTCCAGTTGAATTCGATGGCTTTCGAGAGATGGGCGGAGTTGGAGGTCTCGGAGTCGGAGTCGGAGTTGGAGGTCTCGAAGTCGGAATCCGAGTCGGAGTTGGAAGTACTGCTGGTTTTTGGGGTTCTGAGAATTTTCTGCTGCCGGAGATGATGTCTGGTTTGTTGTCTGAAAAAGTTGGAGTCTTTCTCATGGATAATGAAGAAGAAGGATCCGTTAGTTTTTGATCTGTTGGTTTCTGTTTTTGTTTCCCATCTGAGCCTTCTCCGGGATCTTTATCTAACATAGAAACCATCTCATTAGTTACATTCAATTACAAATTTGGCATCAAATTATCGAATCATCCATTCATTCTTTTTTTTTTTTTACCATCTTAGTTTCTTAAAACTTGAACAGTGTTATCATTGTTGATAAAACTAAGGTGAAATTATGAAATTCGTACTAGCTATCTTTAAAATTTTCAATTTACTCCTTACAATTTGAATTTATTCATTTTAGTCCACGTAGACGTTGATAACATTACTTGTTTTTTATTTAGTGTCAAGGAAGTAACATTTAACCTTTTCCACTAGAGATGAGTAAAATGAAAATTGTATAAGTGCTTAAAAAATATTTTAGTTACAAGGGGTGGGATGATGTAACTAAATTATAAGGACTTAATTGAAAATTTTGAAATCACGGAGAATATGTTAGAATAATATTGAAATCATGATCCAATAGAAACTTTTTAATTAAACTCTAAATCTTATTTTAATTCATGAATTTTTCAATACCATGGTCCTTTAAATTTCGAAAAAAAAATTGGTCTCTAATTTTTATAATGTTTATTTTAATTATTGAATTTAAAAAAGTGATAAATTTAATTCTTGTCATACCAGTGTTACACATTTCAAAAATTTTGAGATCAAAATGAAACAGGTATAAAACTTGAGGACAAAAATATATATGAGGGAAGTTTTGGGGTTAAAAAGAATAATATAAAAAATTACCAAGAGATTTAAAACATAGCCCAAATTATAGGTCAAATTTGTAATTTAACATAAAACAAATATTTTTTAACGGGGAGGAAAATGCAAAGAAGAAATTACTGGAGGGCCGCCGGGAAACTTTGGAAGGATCCGGCGCCGGACGTGGAGCGAGGGGGCGAGTGTCGTCGTCCTTGATGTACTTTATCTTCGCCGACGACGACGTTTCACGATCACGGCGGTCGGAGTTAATTTTCCGTGTGGCGATTTCTGATTGGTCTTCATTAACGGAATGCACCGCAAAGACCGCTGCTGCGACGGCGGCCACGTGCTCTAATATTCCGTCATCGGATAATTCATTATCTCCACTCATTTGCCGAGAAAATTGTTCTCTCAGCCACCTCCCCGCCGTTTTCTTCTCTGCACAAACAAACGTTAAACTTCAAAAATACCACGTTTGTTCCAAACTTTTAAATGTAAATTTCAGCCTTGAATTTTTAATAAATTTGAAAAAAGAAAAAAAAAATAGTCTTCACTATCAACGTTTGCAGAAAAACAGTTTCTGTATGTATTTTTAGATAGAAGCTTGAAAAACATATTCATCATATATTATCAGTCACATATTTGGTCATTTATTATAGGTTTAAATATAGAAAAAAATTCTCTCCTATGGTCCAATAGCATATAGGTAATATAGACAAGTATTTTTTTTTATTAATTTTACATGGTTCCTGCATGGTCTACTTATCTATATGCTACAAGAATTCAGAGGAGCTAAATTTTTCTTTTATATATTATTTATTGATTTATTTTTATCTTCATGTACATTTTTTAAAAAGTGATTAAAATTTTAGCATTACATCTGGGAATTAAAAATTTTAAGATATAACAATAAATTTGTATTAAAATGTTGGAAATATGGGTTTTTTCCAATCAAATTACCTTTGAAAGATTGGGACTTTTGGGGAGGCAAATTTATTTCCCTGCTACTGCCTTGTTCTTCTCTGTTGTGTGGCCTAGCTCTGGGATATTTGGCCCTGAAACCAGTGGTTAGAGAGAGATCTTCGTTATTATATTTTATTAATTTCCTCGGACTAATAAAATAAAATAAAATACCTCATCTGCATCAGCAAACTATCCATGGTTTGAAAGAAGGGTCTCTCTGTGTAATGAGATTTGTTGTGTGTGGAGAATGATGGCGTGGTGGAGGGGATGGGGTTTATTTGAAGAGCAAGCCAAGTGAAGAAAAAGAGGATTTAAAAGGGAAAAAAGTTGACAACTTTTGAGTGTTTCATATAGGAATCAATGGAAGAGAAGTGAAGTTTAAATATTCTTTGCATTCAGTTCATGGGTTTGGATCTTCTGAAACAGAGCTTTTAGTGAAGGAAAAGTATTCTTTCTTTCTTTCCAAAGCATTTTGGCCCTCGTATCTTTCTTCTACAGATAATCAGCTTTTTGTTCTCTCATTCATTATCCCATTCATATTTGGATAATATTTAGGGATGATATTCATCCTTAAAAAGATTAATTTGTTCACGATAACAACTATTATTTTATTGTTTTATCAACATATTAATAATATGCTATTTGGACGCATGAAATTCAACTCACTCGTCAATAAAGTCCATTTTCCTTTTAGATTTTGACATTCTATTGAAAGGAGTTCAAATGACGTGTCCTCTTATGTCAAAATATGACTAAAAAAATATTTATTGAAATAGACTTTCCATTAACAAATCTTAACTCAAGCTTTCGGGAAGGTAAGATTAAGAAAATTCTATTACTTGCAACTTTCTCCGGACCAAAAAAAGCATGAAAAAAAAATCCTCATTGAAGTTTTGAATCTCTGCCCAAAAGATTGAAATATAGAAATATCCCTGAAAATCAGGTGGGAGAAAGTATGATTTTTCCTAAAAATAATATATATTTTAAAAGTTAAGGAATAAGATTTGGAAAGTAACACAAAAGTGAGATAGCAAAATCGGATTAAAGTGTATGACCTATGCCAATTTTTTAGTCTATATTATACATAGTTTTAGAAATCGTTTTGTTATTATTTTGAAAGTTACACTATTTTTTGTCATTTTTCTTTTAAGAATTACTGTTTATGAAATTTCCCCAGAGAAAATACAGAATAATGGAAAAGAACCATATTTGCAATTACCAATTAGGAAAAAGAAAAAGAATAATAGTAAACTGACTATTGACATCACAAATCACAACCCCTACTTGGAAATGCAAAACTAAATCCTAAAACCTAAAATTAAAAAGAAAAAAGAGAAAATCAGAGTAGCCAATTTAGGCGCAAGCAGAAGCTCTGAAGTCTTTGATGGTGACGAAGACGTAAGAATCCGGCGAAACCGACACATCGGAAGTGGGGTCCACGAGCTTGGGCGACATGTCGGGAATGTCCAAAGTCGGCGTGAGCCGGAGAGGAGTACCGTTCAAGAGCACGACATCGCTCTGAATATCGCCGTCTTTGGGGCTCAAATGGTACTCTTCTCTCGCCTTAAGCCTTCCGCCATTACAGCTCGGATACAGCTTTCTGTCGTTCACAATATTCACATCAAAAGTTGTGGAGTTCGACATGTTGATTAGAAGCACAGTGATGCCGCTCTGAAACAAAATAGTTAAGAAAAAAGTTACAACCCAAAACAAAAAGATGTCTTCTTTTGAGAGATAAGAGAGAAGAATGGGGATTTTGGGTTACTCTGTTCTTGCTGCAGTGAGAATACACACGAAGATATGGAGAGCCATCGTGGGAAACCGAGAGAACCTTCTTCCCCATTAATCTGTGCCACAGAAGTGCGCTGTTTCACGAAAACGAGTGTTAAATCCGGTTTAAATTGATGGGTTACAGTAAATTTAATCTAAACCGACCCATAATAATCCGGGTTGGGGATGAAAGTGGTGGTGTTGAGCAAGGCGTAGTTTCCACCGATCAAGGCTTGTCTGCAGTAAGCGTGATGGTTGTATGTGGCGGTCATCCCCAATTGATCCAAATACCTGACGTAAAAAGGGATCAAAATAAATATTTTCAGAGTACAGGAACAAATTAAAAAGTTTCGAGAACAAAATGAGGACCAATTTAGAAGGTAAAATGAATTTTCAAATTACAGTTACAAGTTTAGAGACCAAAATAAATAAGTAAGGAATCCAAATAAACATTTTTGAAAGTACATGACTAAATTAAATTCTACCAGAAGGCATTGACGAAGGTGTGAGAAACTGTTCTGCCACCGCTGTTATAAGCTCCACCAGATTCACCCACCCAAGGCTTGGACCATGGAGCAAAGCTCTGGGAGACGGCTGCAGCCTCCTTGAAAGTTTGGGCAATTTGGTCCAGAAAATAAGGGTCTTGAATCTTGTTTATAAGATCAGGATCAACACCTACATGAATTCCGATTTAAAATGGGTATCCCGAGCAATTCCGATAATCAGGTTCATTGTAGTGTGAAATACCTGCACCAAGATTGTAAATATGGTGGGTGACACCATCGACAACATTTGGGTCTGTGTTTTGGAGGAAGGTTTTGAACCATTCCTTGTCGAAGAAACCAGCAGGGCCCAGAATTTTGGGTCGGTTTTTGGGATCAGGATAAATCTGTTCCACTACTTGTCTCATGAGACTGAGATCTTTCCCATATTGGTCAGGCTCGAGCCTTGCAGAAACTCCTCCTGCACACAGCTCATTGCCTGTTTTCCAATACCAAAACTTCTCGGTCAAAATTGTGTAAAAAAGTTTAGAAAGTTCATAACTTTAAGATTACCCAATTCATAAGAATCGATTTTGTATCCCTTGGAGGCAGTGTACTTGATGAAATCTCGAGCATTTCGAGGATCCCAATCGCCAACCCAGTTGATAGAACCGTCGTTGGCTGGTTTCTTTCCCATCAGAGCATTCAAACCAAACGTAATTCGAGCACTGAAACCAAAAAAGAAGCCAGAAAAAACATTGCTTTTGTTTCTAGCTAGACAAGAACATGTTTATGGTGATTTTGGTTCGTCACGTACGATGTTTTGTTGAACAGATCGTTAAGAGCATCCCATCTTTCCATGGGGAAGCACCCTTTGCTGAATCCAAACAGACCGTCTTTCTGTTTTCTCATTTGGGGACAATTCTTCACCGAGTTCCCAACTCTGTAGATTATTTGATCTTGCAGTGACCCTCCAATTCTGATTCTCAGAGGATTGAACGCTGAAAAACAGTGAATCCCAGAAACATTTTTTAGTTTCTAAGAATAACCCAAATCGGAAAATCAGTAAAAACTCCGAAACTAACCCTTGATTGCGTTGTACAAGATAACATTTGGAAGATCCTGTAAAAAAACAGAGCAAAAACAGAGCTTCTATGGTTAGTAAATTACAGAGAGAAGATGAAGAACAAGATGGTGAAAATTATGAAGCTACCAAATTGAGAATGCCGGCGTTTCCCCACGGGCATTGGCCGTAATCGCATTTGTTTGCAGGCCACCAATCCAAAGTGGCACAGATGAAATTATCATCAGTTTCAGCAATGGTGGTCACTCCTTTGACTGAAACCTTTACGAATTCTCCTGAAATGGAAGATGAGAAAGAGAAGAAGCAGATGAGAAGGAGGAGCAAAGCTTTGGAAGCCATTGTTGCTGCTTAGAGAAACTTGACTATGGACCTGGATTTATAGGGAAGGAGGAAGGGGAAATTCGTTAAGATTAGCCATTTGAATTGCGGTGATTTCAAAAATTAGT